ATATACGTACATACGTGAGTAGTAAGTCATATATACCTCAGTTCATGTTTTTAACGTTATAGGTAAGCCACGTTAATGGTAGTGGAAAAAAGAAATGTAAAATATGTTTGTTGTTATCGCACTAAATTTCAGTTTATTGAGATGTTTTGTTTTGTAAACTGTTAAAGACCTAAAGTTAAATGCAGAGTAATGCAGAGATAGACCATTTAAACTTTCATTTTATTTCAGCTTTATTTCTCATTTTTATTTAGTTTAACTTTTTGTTTAATAAAATAACTAAAAATGAAACTGAAATAATTTTTTTTTAAATATATAGAGGGAATGCATTGACGTCACTTTCCCGCCGGAATAGCTTGTTTTCACGTGACGTCACGCCACTGCGTTGCCATGGCGCGAAATGCAGATGGAGGGCAGGAAGTGATTTTCTATATTTAGGAAGCACTATAACACACTCAAAATGCTTATGTTTTGCGTCGTTTATGGTTGCTCAAATCGATCAAACCACGAGGAGTTTTTATCGTGTGCCAAAAGTTGTTGTTCATAAGGGTGGAAAATACAAGAAATTGACAGAAAAACACCGGGAAAAATGTCGTGCAAACCTACGTCTACGGTCGGGAAGAGCCGAATGCTTCTATTTTGCTTTTTTTTTTTCATAATTTAACTTTTTCTTAAATCAAAATAACAGTTTATGTGCATCTCTCCTGCTTTAATGCAAAACCTAATGATCATTTTCTCCTGGATCCAAAAGCATCTTGAGCTTTAATGGAAGCATGGAACATGATCATCTGCACAAAGAGTCACATGATCAATGACACTCTTTCACTTTCTTTAGATTAGCCGCAAAATAATGCACTGAATAGTTGTGTAGAAAATCCTCAAACTTTCAGGTTATTTTCAAGTTTAATTGGGATTACATAATGATCTGCTGAATAGAAGAGATCACAAATGAGGGAACGTTGTCTAGGACTCTCCATCTAAATCTGCATTAATCCTTTTCACATTCATGTGTAAATAAGTTGGACCATTATGGCATTTTTCACATCAGAAACGTCCCTCTTTCTTTCAGGCTTAGTCTTTTAGACTCTCTCTACATAAGTGCATTCATTTGAGTCAGTCATCAGCCTGGCGGCATAAACCCATTCAAAGCGAAACTGCAAAGTGTCAAAGCGAGGAATGGCAACTTCTAATTGCACTGAGACATTTTAAATCACCTGATATCGACCCTGAGGATAACTGGCACTTTTATTTGTCTCGTCTGCCATCTGCACTCATAGCATGATGCTCGTCCAGTGTTTCTGCTGAACTCCTCTAAAGCGCTGACATGACAGCCAGTTAAATGTCATGAGCATCGTGCTCCTCTTCAAATGAGTCCTGACTTCAGTGAAAGTTCACACCGTTCAAATCATTTACATTTTACATTTATTCATTTAGCACAATGGCTATATATGTCAGAGGTCGCACGCCCCTGCAGCAACTAGTGGTTAAGTGTCTTGCTCAGGGACACATTGGTGTCTCACAGTGGATTCGAACCCGGGTATCTCACACCAAAGGCATGTGTCTTGTGGATAAGACACACTGCGCCATCATCCTTAGTTGCTTTGAAACCTTTCATAAAAGATTTTAATAATGCTTTTGATATATAGCCAAAAGCATATATAGCCTATATAAATCATCATATCCAGGGCCTGAAGTTAACTTTTTCGGCCACCGGCCACTGTGGCAGGTGGATTTAAAAGTTCACCTGCCACAGAGACTTTTTACCAACCTTTTTTGCCTCATAAAGGTGATATATATATATTTCAGTTTTTTAACACTACATAAAAGCTGGGATAAAATACAACCAACAGAACATTTAAAACTGAATCAAAAAGTTAAACAAACATCTTCAAGACGTTTTCTTTACATGTGAAATAAAGAAAACAGTTACAAACTTAAACTGGAAGTGTTTCTGGACCAGTGTTGTTTACATCTTGTGAAATGGTCTATATAGTAAGCTACCTGAGTAATAGTGTTGTTGAAATTGCACATACTTTTCTTAAAAACTCTTAGGTTGTTCATAATATATTTTGTAGAAGAACAATTCATTTAATATAAAGATTTTTATAATTTACTACTTTGCACCAAAAAAAAAGAGGACTTTTTGTTAGTTATGTAATTTTGCTATGAGTTTACTTGTCTGGCCCCCTTGACATCAGATTAAGCTGTATGCGGCCCCCAGACCAAAATGAGTTTGACACCCCTGCTACTGTATATACTCAGACCTACCGCAGCTCGTATGTAAATCTATGTTGATGGCTGATTTAGTCACTGTGATAGATGTGACCAGTAAAGGATAAAATAACACGGAGGTAGCAGGCTACTGCAAACGTTTAGGGGTTTATTTCCACAGGATGGGCTTACAAAAGTAAAGCCAATGCTAACCCAATGGTGGTAAACCAAACATACCAAAAATCAAATAACAAAAAAAATACAATAGGGTCACTGCATTTGCCTCTCAAACATTTACAGAGGTCAAGGGCTGACAGATCCTGTTCTCTCACAGAACACCAACTCACATATTAACATATTTATACCCATAGACAGTAAATACCTTGGTGGCCAGCACCAATTAATACATAAAGGGGGATACACAGACATATAATGGCCATTACACACAATAAACAAATATGAAAATACCCAATATACATAAACAAACACCTCAACTAATACTATCAAATGACTTCACTTAATAAATATACTTCTTATAAACACACAAAAGAAAAGCAAGGAAAATAGTCCTTGGAGTTCCCCCGGAGAAGAAACCGGAATGGTTGTGGCCCGATCATCGGAACCATATATATACGACCAATGTTTCCACGCGAACCCCTTTAGACGGTGCACACGCTCACGGGACTATGGACTCAGACGTATCAAACAAACAAACAAAGAGAACGGTAGGAATAAACAACTAAACGTTAAAGAGTTTGCGCACTTAAGTCCAAACGAAAGTTTAAATAAAGTTTATTAAACCAAAATAATGTTGTTGTGTATTCATTACTGTGAAACAAATTCCATTAAATAAAATCTCAAACTGACCTGACCCAGGCTCACCAACATCCGCCACAGTCACGTAGACAGGTCTTAAAAGCTATTAGTTACAGCGTTCAGGAACCGTTAACTATGAACTAAATTAATATTGTTATTACTGGTAACGTTAGAGTTATTTTCTTCCCAACTCCCAAAATGCATAGTTGCACACGCACACACATCTGTGCGACTGTCAGCGTTACGTTACCTCATCACATCTCACCAACAGTGTAATACTCGCACATCCAAACGTAGTCAGAAAAGGGCCTCATCTTCTTTCTGATCGCGTGAACGTTACGAAACAACAGTCGCTGTCATAAATCAGCCGCTCATGAACCTTGCCATTGCCGCCAATTGTCCACTTTGTATTAAAATGTCTTTTACTTTTCTTTTTCTCATCCTCATCTTTTTGTTGGTTGTTTGTTTCAGCTGGCCTCTTTACCCCAGTAATGTCCCGCCTCATTTTAGCTAAAGTCTAACGATGCAATGGCGGACTTCGTTGAAATGTTAAAATCCTAACGAATCACTCAATTCTCATTGATTGACAGTGTTACCTGCCAATAGCAAAAAATTTTGCCACTCACTGTGAGGAACGCAGGCACTCCGGCCGACGCTGACGTCATGTGCATACCCTATATAGTACAATAAACAAACAGCTCAGTTATTTAAAAAATTCAAATGAAAGCAGTAAATAGAAAAAAATAGTTCTAAATATAAAAAACTAGTATGAATGACATCTAGAACATCTCAATGATGAATAACTATTTCACTCCACTCACATCAGTGGGTCCATTAGCGTCTTGTAAACAAGAAAATGTCTGACCTTTGACCTCAGGGAGGCCCTGAGAGAGACCATGTCCAACGACGAGTTGGGTGAGAGAGAACAGTGGACTCTGTTTGGCAACGAGGCTGAGAAACTGGAGATCGGGGTGATCAGAAACCAGCATGTTGTCCGTGAGCGTGTGGATCGATTCGCGCTGCGCCGGGAGGTGAGTGATCCACACACAGATACTGAGAGAAGAGCGTAAAAACACACCTGCATTCGCTCACTGCTTAGTTTTAAAGAAAAACGTTATCCCAATAAATTATCTGATAGATATCTGTCTATCACACTCTCTATCTAACATTCTGTCTGTCTATCGCTCTCTCCATCTTTCTCTCTGTCTATCGCTCTCTCTCTATCTATAATTCTGTCTGTCTATCTATCTATCTATCTATCTATCTATCTATCTATCTATCTATCTATCTATCTATCTATCTATCTATCTATCTATCTATCACGATTTACTAAAATAACTTAAGACTAAAATGAAATAAAAAAATTATACAAATATGTTTAGACATTTAAAAAAATTTTTTAATTATAATAAATAAAATAAAATAGGAAGCTTTGTGTGAGAAACAGACTGAAATGTAACCGGGTTATTATAGGATTATTATTTATTTTATTTTTTTTTAATTAACATTAATGAAAATAAAATAGACATTTGAAATTATTAAATAAAATAAAAAAAACATTTCCTATTTTATTTAATCATTTGACAAGGCAAAAATGTAGCTCACTAAAAAAAAAAAAATCTGTGAAAAATCTCTTGTAAATCTCTGAAATAAAAGTTGATGACAAAAACACAGCCAAGGTATTAAAACTTTAACTAAAATTAAAATATTTAGAAAATCTAAAAATAAAAACCAATTCAAAATATTAATAAAACCTGTAATAGTATTTCAATGATACTAAAATAATGCTGTTGTTTTAAATGTAAGTCATTTTTTAAGCTTTAGAACGATATCAGAGTGTGTAAATTGCTGAGAGCTGTGTGTTATTCTTCTCTCCTCATGTTCACACACAGGCCGAGAGAAAAGCTGCAGTGCACATGAAGTTTATTGAGGATTTGAGCATGAAGGCTCCTGACTTCCCCGTCCCGCTGCGATCGCACTCGGTGTGGGCCGGCATGGATGTCAAATTCTCCTGTACGGTTCAGGGCTGCCCGATTCCCAGCGTCACATGGTGAGAGTCTCGACAAGCCTACATCTCCACAGATCTCGTTCATCATACCAGCGTCATGTGACTCTTGTCGACAGGTATAAGGATGACGTTCCTCTGCGAGGATCCCTGCCCTGGAACTACAAGCTGATGCAGAAGTTCGGCCTCAACGTGTTGGAGATCAGAAGGTGAACTTCAAAACCTGAATATTAAACTGACTTCAATCAACATTATGTTAGTGTCATTTTATCGGAAGACTTTATAATATGGTCTCGTTTGTTTATCTACTGCTTTAACTAAAGTCAACTAACAAGGATCTATATGTTTACTGCATTTATTAACCTTTCTTAATGTTAGTTATTAAAAATGTTCATGTTTATATTCACGTACATTAGCTAATGTTTACAACTTTTGATGAAATTTATTAGAAATGCTTAAAAATGTATTAATAAATGCTGAAGAAGTATTAACTAATGAAACCTTAAAGTAAACTGTTAGTTTTTATTAATATTTTGAACACATTTTTGTTGTTATATTTTTCATTTTTATTTAGTTGAAAGTTTAGTAATTTTGTTGTGTTTTTGTCATTTTAGGGGTTTTTTGTGCTGTCAAATTTATTACGATTAATCACATCTACATAAAATTTTGTGTATATACTGTATGCACACACACACACGTATATATATATTATATTTGCAAACGTTTATGTAAGATGCGATTGATCGATTTGACAACGCTAGTTTTATGTTTTGTTTTTGTTTTTTTATAATAAAAAGCTGAAATAAAATGCGTAAGCTTTTAAAAAAGAACATACATTATTTTCGGATTTGATTTGTTACAACTTTTGTTATGTTGAAATGGCAACAAAAAAAGATAAAATACGTGAGAGAAAAAAACAGTTATATTATCTGAAAGATACACATCTTCATATTATTATAAGATATTTAAAAAAAATGCATACATGCTTTTTGTTTAGTTGTGCTTTAGTCATGCCCATTTAGTTTTCTTTGTTTTCAGATGTTCTGCTGAAGATGCCGGAGAATACAAGGTCATAGTGAAGAGTTCCCTGGGAGAGGCGACGTCCTGCGCCAGTCTGCTAGTTAACTGTGAGTTGATGTTCATCAGGTTATTTAGGTGTTGCTTGACTTGTTCAAGGTCTACAAAGCTGCCGTTTAATTGATCCCAAACTAATCGAAGCTATCACTATTGCTAGGAGACAATACATATTTATTAGTGCAGTTGTTAGTCAAGTGTATTTATATAGCGCTTTTCACAATATAGATTGCATCAAAGCAGCTTCACAGTATCAATCAAAACATAATAACAATGTTCATTTCTTAGTGGAAAAACATCCACGTTTGATAGAGCTAAGCAATGGTATTACTGATTGGTTAATTCATTTGAATATACCCAACTGAGCAAGCCAAAGGCAACAGTGGCAAGGAACCAAAAAACTCAAAGGTGACCCAATGGTGTCCTAAAACTCCATCAGTTGACCCAATGGTGTTCGAAACGAAATTTACAACGCTTTATCTGTAGAGTGGGAACAGGATCCTTCATAGGGAGAGGCTAGTTGGCATTTCAGCACTGCATTGGTGTTATATTAGGTGCACAATGAAGTCTGGTCATTCTCAAGAGCTGTCTAAGAGTCAGTCTAAGCTGTTGAACTCTCATTGGCGGCATTAATGAAAAGTTTGCGTTGCAGCGCCAAATATTTTTTACCCTTTATTCTTCCATTTGCAGCACACGAAGGAGCAGAAGCAAAACTGAAGCGCTTGTGGACTCCCAGTAAGTGCCTTTCCTCTTCATAATGCATAAACATGGATGCCTTTTGGAGTACTTTAAAGGGTTAGTTCACCCAAAAATAAAAATGGTGTCATTAATGACTCACCCTCATCTTGTTCCAAGACCTCCGTTCATCTTCAGAACACAGTTTTAAGATGTTTTAGATTTAGTCCAAGAGTTTTCTGTCCCTCCATCGAAAATGTATGTACGGGATACTGTCCTTGTCCATAAAGGATAAAGACATCATCAAAGTAGTCCATGTGACACAATGTTTTGAAGCATTGAAAATACATTTTGGTCCATTGAAAAAAGTTTTGAAGCATTCGAAAATACACATGTAAAATGTCAATTATTATATCATTACTCCAGTCTTCATTTTACAACATATTCAAACAGTAAACAATTCTTTTAAAGTGTAATATTATTGCTGTTTTTACTGTATTTTTGATCAAATAAAAGCAGTCTTGGGGAGACAAAATCATAAAAAATTATACGATGCATGCTTAAGAATTGTATATATTGATATATTGTACAGAACATTTTGCAAGATGTGGTCCAGAAACACTTCTTTTTTCAGTTTGTAACTGTTTTCTTTATTTCACATGTAAAGAAATCATCTTAAAGATGTTTGTTTAACTTTTTGATTCAGTTTTATATTTTCTGTTGGTTGTATTTTATCCCAGCTTTTATGTAGTGTTAAAAAACTGAAACAGGAAGTGCTTCTGGACCAGTCTTGTTTACATCTTGCAAAATGGTCTATATTGAGATATTGAGCCTAGCAACCACCCATAATACCCCAGCATAGTGGCACTGAGTTTTGCATGGAGACACACTTTTGGGCAGCAAAAACGACTCGATTACTCCAGTCCATCCAATATAGCAACAGCAGTTTCAAACAAATCTGAATTCCCATTACAGCCCTTCTGCTGATATGAGAGAACATCACTATTCATTTGCAAGCGTCTGGAATTGTGTTGTCGAATTACAACGACACACATCACTTCCAATTCCATCTCGATTCAATTCCTAGCTAAACAAATAGCGTGTCTTCTCAAACGTTGACACATCGGCCCTCTGTGACGTCCCCTGCGCTGGGCTGTGGCATTTGTCTCATTACACTAATATTTGTCCTCGTCCTTGGGATGGTTTATGGTGCCGTTTGCCAGGAATTGAAACTCAAAAGAAAATTAAACAATTTTTCCAATGACACTTCTGTGGTTGCTCCCGCTTGTACAACATATGCCTTAATTGAGTCCCTTCTTGCATTCATTTCCACTGCCTGCCGATGGCAAGACGAACACGAACAAAAGCTACTTACTGCCTGTCACTTCACAAATGTAATTAAAAGTGAGTGGATTGAAACATTAACGACTTGATTCCTGTAGAAACTACTCAAGCAAGACTTTTTTCTCCTTCTGAGTGAAGGTGAAGTGAACAGTGTGGGCAAAATCTAATTACACTGTGTTAGTAATTTTATATCAAAGAAATGGAATCGTGATTTTTACTGGAAATACCAGCGCAAACTCACGACTAATTCATTTTGAGTGAGAACGATGTGGCTAATTCGTAGCCTGGCTCCCGCCCTCCTACGTACTTCAGCTCAATTTTAATTTACCCTCAGTACTGCGTCTGGGTTTGTGGTGTATTTGGTTTTTTACCAGTCCAGTCAGCGAACAGAGGGAGTGGCTGAGAACGATGACGTTGATGTCGTGTGCTAGTTTGAGTCATCATACCTCACGCCCAAACGTCAGTGATTGGTTATGTAGATCTTGAGTGACTCTGGGGCCTGGGCAGATCCAATATTTTTAAACTTCAACAAAACCTTCCTACAAAAAAGTTAACGCTTGTCATAGATATCCATAATAAAGGCTAGATGCCTCACGACGGAGTCTCTATCGTCATCACCGGCGGCCATCTTGTCACAGGCAAGCTTTCAGGCGGGCTCTCTGATGTACTGTAAGATGAGTGATCAGCACTCTTATCACTCAAACACAAATACTCTTATGTTGAAATCTTGACGGATTTACAGACGGTTTGGTTTCTTACAAACGTTATTAAAGTGGCTATAATTCTGGATGATTGGTTATTGATACACTTATTATTCATAAGTGTGCAGTGTCATAACTACATCTCTTGATGTTTATAACAAACGAAAACGGTTAAAAATCGGTAGAAAATTGAGCAAGTTATGGTTATTTAAAAGGTACCACACCATTAAAACATAATGTTATGAGAGAGCGAGCTGCCTGTGACAAGATGGCCGCCAGGTGTGGACGTCGACCTCCATTGGCTAGCAGCGCGGACGAGACATTTAGCCTTTATTATGTATTTCTATGAAATGTCCGAGAGTCTGGTGGGACCAGGCTAGCTAATTCGTACGATTTGTCTAAACCCAAGTGATGGGTAGGTTTAGGGGCGGGGTCAGGGGTAGGTCATTCGTAGGAATTCCTACGAATTGGATACCTTGTAAAATATAGCAAACGAGTGAGGTCATATGAATTAGCCACCTCGTAAAATAGGAACGAATTCCCATGAGTTCGGGTTGGAAATTTAAGGAAAAGGATCCAACGATGTATTGTAATGCAAGATACTAAATTTATCCGGAAATGCCGATTATTCAGGATGATATCTGCCGACACCGATACTAATACCGATAGTTTAATTTTCTAATGCTTTCAAACGTAGGGACTTCGGTACCAAGTCGGTTTTGAAATAAAAAAAAAAATGTGACTATATCAGCATAGCATTTTGAGCGCTGTTGAATGGGTTCTTAAAGGGATACTCCACTTTTTTTGGAAATAGGCTCATTTTACAACTCCCCCAGAGTTAAACAGTTGAGCTTTACCGTTTTTGAATCCATTCAGACGATTTTCTGATATTTAGAAGAACATCAGTAACCAGACAGTTTCTGGTCTCATTGACTTCCATAGTAGGAAAAAAATATACTATGGAAGTCAATGAGACCAGAAACTGTCTGGTTACTGATGTTCTTCTAAATATTTTAGAAAATCGTCTCAGTGGATTCGAAAACGGTAAAACTCAACTGTTTAACTCTGGGGGAGTTGTAAAATGAGCCCATTTCCAAAAAAAAAGTGGAGTATCCCTTTAAACACCTCTGGTTGGCCATTGCGTTCACATGCACAACATACTTCTTCATTTCCGGTTTCTATAGTCCCGGTCCCAGTTCCAGAGCCGGATGCTCAGCTGGACTCAACCTTTCCTCCAACATTTGTGAAAGAGGGTGAAAGCTTGTTTCTGCAGTGCAGCTTCACCTCCGCTTTACTGCCGTTCCAACAGGACGTGTCTTGGTACAGAGACGGTGAGACATTTGATGTGGTATTCCATTTGTAATGCAAAGACGTTCAGGCATTTTAACCTGTGATCCAATGAACAATGTACTTTTAGCTGATGCTTTTGTTCAACGTGACTTCCTGTGTGATCAGGGGTGGTCGTGCACGAGTCGAGTCGTGTGGAGCTGCAGACGGGCCTGCGATCTGCCAGCCTCAGCCTGAAGCACGTGCACAAGGAACATGAGGGCCTGTACACCATCCGCCTGCGCACTTGGGACGGGTCCGTCGAGCACAGCGCCTTCGTCTATGTCAAAGGTCAGATCCTGCAAATCATTAGAACAGATTTAAAATTAAAAAGCTGGTAAAAACGGTATCCGTCACCTTAAAGCATATTGCAAAACTAGTGTTACATAGTCAAGTATTCGACATCTAAAAAAAAAATCACTTTCACGTCACAAAATCAGTTTTGTTTGACTTTTGCTCTCAGGCAGAGCGAGAAAGAGTGGGACTTAAAGGGTTAGTTCACCCAAAAATGAAAATTAAGTCATTAATTACTCACCCCCATGCTGTACCAACCCCGTAAGACCTTCGTTCATCTTCGGAACACAAATAAAGATATTTTTGATTGAATCTGAGAGCTGTATCACTCTTCCATAGACAGCCTGAGGGACTGCCTCTTGACGGCCCAGAAAGTCATTAAAAGAAAAGGTTTAAATATTCCATGTGCCTACAGTGGCTCAACTATAACTTTATCAAGCGACGAGACTACTTTTTGTGCGAAAAAAAAACGTAAATAACGACTTTATTCGACTTTCCATTACTTCCTTATGGGCGCATGCGCGAGAACTGAGACGAGACCGTTCTTCTTCGACTACTTTTTGTTACGGCTGCTCACCGCTTAGGAGTTTTACCGCCCCCTACCGTATAAGATGACGTACTGATATAGCCGGAGGCGCAAAACGTTCTGTTTACAAGCAGTACGTCATCTTATACGGTAGGGGGCGCTAATACTCCTAAGCGGTGAGCAGCCGGTAACAAAAAGTAGTCGAAGAAGAACGGTCTCGTCTCAGTTCTCGCGCATGCGCCCATAAGGAAGTAATGGAAAGCCGAATAAAGTCGTTATTTACGTTTTTTTTCGCACAAAAAGTAGTCTCGTCGCTTGATAAAGTTATAGTTGAGCCGCTGTAGGCACATGGAATATTTAAACCTTTTCTTTTAATGACTTTCTGGGCCGTCAAGAGGCAGTCCCTCAGGCTGTCTATGGAGGACTGATCCAGCTCTCAGATTCAATCAAAAATATCTTTATTTGTGTTCCGAAGATGAACGAAGGTCTTACGGGGTTGGTACAGCATGGGGGTGAGTAATTAATGACTTAATTTTCATTTTTGGGTGAACTAACCCTTTAAAGGTGCAATGCGTAATATTTCTGAGGATCTATTGACAGAAATGCAATATAAGATCCATAACTATGTGTATCAAGACCTTACTCAATGAACCGTTATGTTTTTATTACCTTAGAATGAGACATTTATATCTACATAACCGTGAGCACCCCCTTCTATGAAGGTCGACATATTGTGATGTCACGTTTCTACCGTAGCCAACAGCGAACAAACAGCTCTATAGAGCGCGTTTCGTCACTACCTTGAAAGAGGTATGGTGATCTTATTCCTAAAATTCCTTGAAAGTAATCATGGGTAATGTCTTTTTTTCATGGCAAATTCTTCTGTTATACAATTATTTTAAAACTAAGTTGAAATAATGCGGGCTGACGGCTTCAACTGAAGCATATAACATCGATTAACAACCTCGTAACTCACAATACGGCTGTCTTTAAGGGGTCTTAAGTTATCATTAAAAATAGTTTTTACTTATGGAAACCTTCCGGGAGTTCCCACATTTTTTTATTTAAAAAAAAATTACGTTAAATACAAAAGTTTTGATATTAAAAATCTATGGAGTTTCCAGTTTTTCGTTTTTTTAATTGAGAAATAAAAATAGACACTACTGACGGTTTTATTATTGTTAACTAAAACTATTTTAAAAATGTTTGGGGGTAATTGAATTAAAGCTGAAATATTGTGTGTCTGTGTGTACTGTGTATATATATACATATACTGTATATTCACAAACTTTTATGTAAGATGTAATTAATCGCGATGAATCGATTTGACGGTACTAATAATTATAAATAATACCAAAATAACACTGAATGAGATGCATTGATCTTGGGAGAGTTTGATCTGGTAGCAAACTTTGGTATCTTGACAATCCTGAGTGCAATTTAAGTGCAGTTTCATCTCAAGCTTAATGCACTCTGGGAGAAGTTATTAAACTGATGTCCTGTATGATTTCTCTGTGTGTGTAGATGGATCCGCAGTTGTGGTCGGTGCTCCAGGTTCTCCTCTACAGCTGGAGAGCTCTGATGTGAACCGAGATTATGTCTTCCTCACGTGGACGCCTCCCAGTGCAGACGGAGCTGATGCTGTTCAGGGTTACTTCATCGAGAGGTGAAACATGATCCATGATCTTCTTCAGAGAGATCAGAGCTGTTTCTCTTTAGGCATAAAACTTGAAATAGGAGAGAGTACAAGTGCCTAACTTTCCTGTCTCCTAGCAACATGCTGCTTTACTCTACAATGTTCTGCCTGTTTTTGTTTAGTTGTTACAGATAATTGTATGTTATTATGACAGCTGATGGGGTCCAAAAAGACTGAGACCGCCAATGAAAATGTTTCTGTTTTACTGCATTTCACAATGTCTTAGTATTTGGTTTAATTGCTTTATTGAGTTAGAGGGTGCTCTGAGTGGTTGCTAGGGTGTTGCTAAGGGATTGCAAAATTCTGATCGTTTTTTAATGCATTACTGTTGCTAGGGTGTTCTGAGTGGTTGCTAAGGTGTTATTAGGGGGTGCAAAGTTCTTAGTGTTTTTTAACACACTTCAATGCTGTTGCTAGTGTGTTCTGAGTGGTTACTATGGTGTTGTTAGGGGATGCAAAGCTCTGGGTGGTTTTAATGCATTGCTATGCTGTTACTAGGGAGTTCTGAGTGGTTACTAGGGTGTTGCTATGGGATTGCAAAATTATGATCTTTTTTATGCATTGCTGTTGCTAGGGTGTTCTTTGTGGTTGCTAGGGTGTTATTAGGGGGGTGCAAAGTTCTTGGTGTTTTAACACACTTCAATGCTGTTGCTAGTGTGTTCTGAGTGGTTACCATAGTGTTGTTAGGGGATGCAGAGTTCTGGGTAATTTTAATGCATTGCTATGCTGTTACTAGGGAGTTCTGAGTGGTTACCATGGTGGTGTTAGGGGATGCAGAGTTCTGGGTAGTTGTAATGCATTGCTATGCTGTTACTAGGGAGTTCTGAGTGGTTACTAGGGTGTTGCTAAGGGATTGCAAAATTCTGATCGTTTTTTTATGCATTACTGTTGCTAGGGTGTTCTGAGTGGTTGCTAAGGTGTTATTAAGGGGTGCAAAATTCTTAGTATTTTTAACACACTTCACTGCTGTTGCTAGTGTGTTTTGAGTGGTTATTATGGTGTTGTTTGGGGATGCAAAGTTCTGTTTGGTTTTAATGCATTGCTATGCTGTTACTAGAGAATTCTGAGTGGTTACTAGGGTGTTGCTATGGAATTGCAACATTCTGATCGTTTTTTATTTATAGCTGTTGCTAGAGTTTTCTGAGGGGTTGCTAGGTTGTGCAAATTCTGAGTTATTTTTAATGCATTTCTATTACGTTTCTGGGTGTTCTGATTGGTTACCCCAGGGTGTTGCTAGGTGAATGCAAAGTGTTTTTAATGCATTGTTTTGCTGTTGCTATGGGTTTCTGAGTGGTTACTAGGGCATTGCTTGGGTATTGCAAAGTTCTTTGGGGATTGCGGAGTATTTTATGTATTGCTGTCGCGAGGGGGTTCTGGGGGGGGTGGAAAGTTCTGAGTTTATTTTTAATGCATTGATATTCTGTTGCTAGGGTGTTTTGAGTGGTTGCTAGGGGGATGCAAAATTCTTAGTGACTTTAGTGCATTGGTATGCTGTTACTAAAGCCCAATGTATCCTTCTGCTGCAAACTCACGCTGTACCTACGGCGTAGGCTGTTTGTAGCGCACGTAGTTGTGCACCTCTCAAAAAAATTTACAATGTGTCAATTGTACTGCAAGCACTGTGATTGGTCTGGGGGCGAACTTCCTCGCTCGGGTTTCACATGCTCCCTCTGCATGTGTAATTGCACGTCAACGTGGACAACGCAAAAGTATGAATGAAAACTGACATGTAGCCTACAGCGGTGTAGGTCTGACGCAGAAGTATAAATCAGCCTTAAGCTATGTTCTCTGACTGGTTGTGGACGGTGAAGGTGTTGCTAGAGGATTGCAAAGTTCTGAGTGTTTTTTATGCATTGCTACACCGTTGCTAGGGTGTTTCGTGTGGTTGCAAGGGTGTTGCTACGTGGTAAGGTGTTCTGAGGCTCTAAGGTTTTCATGGGTTGTTCCTATGGTGTTGCTAAATGGTTGGCAACAGCTATGGAATAAATAAAGCTGCAAAGTTAATAAATGAATATTATGACATGCTCACATCCCTATTTCTTTCATGCAGGTGTGACATCGGTGTTGGGAAGTGGGAACGCTGTAATGACATCATCCAGAGGGTGTGTCAGTATCCCGTAATGGGACTGAAAGAAAACACAATGTACCAGTTCCGAGTGTGCGCAGTCAACCAGGCAGGAGTGGGACGCCCGTCTAAACCCACTGACCCCATCATGACCTCTGACCCCCTGGAGCCCAGCAGGACGACGGGTAAGAACGCCTAAACGAAGCCTTCAGATCATGTGTTTACCTTATCTCTGATCTTCTCCTCATCTCGCTCTTCTTCAGTGGTGAAGGTGGAGCGTGGGAGAGAGATTGTGATCACTAAGGACCAGCTGGAGGGTGAGTAGATCACGACGCTCATGATTTCACCCGTTGCAGTCGCTTAGAGATAACAAGTAAAAATTCTACACTCACAGCAGGAGCAAACTTAGATTGACTGTACAGGGATCCTGAGATAGCCTTTATCACGTGTCGTTTCATTGCATCAAGTCTGGGAAGTCAAAAGGCACAGTGTAGGGTTCACTGGGGCATATTTCATGCTAAAATCAAAAGAAAAAAGTTTACAATGTTTTAAGGTGGCATAGTCACATTGTACTTACAATAGGTTTAAATAGGTACTGAGTATTATTAATTACTGTAACTATGTACTTACTATAGAGTTAGGCAATATTAGGGTTTAGGGTTAGTTACTTGTTATTATGCTAAATTTATTTTTATCACTATAGCAAGTACATGTAGTAATGTGTAACTATTTCACCTTAAAATAAAGTGTTAAATGAAAATATTTTAGGACCATAAGGAGTGACATTGTTTATGACAATTAAACAATATATCATGAGTGTATTTCAAAAGTAATAATAAATACTAGGGCTGCATTAATCGCATCCAAAATAAAAGTCTGTGTTTACATAATATATTTGTGTGTGCTGTATGTAATTATTTTGTATATAAAAATCCCTATGCATGCATGTATATTTAAGAATTATTTGCGCTTAAATTCTGTATATATATATAAATACATAATCTATATTATATAAATATAAATATTTTATATATGAATAACACATTTTCTTAAATATATACATGCATGAGTTTGTATTTATATATACAAAATAATTATATACAGCACACACAAATATATTATGTAAACACAGACTTTTATTTTGGATGCGAGTAATCGCAATTAATTTTTGCACAGCCCTAATAAATACTTATACTTACATACACTACATATATATATGAAGAGTTCAGATGCAAAAGCCTCTAAATGCCATTTGAAATTTTCTTCTTTAATGATGATTTTTATCAAACTTGTATATTTAAGTTCAGTAATTCCACTTAAATAACAATTAATAGGTAATTATCATTGCCATTTTAGTGAAATCACTGAACTTAAATATACAAGCTTTATAAAAATAATCATTCTAGAAGAAAATTTCAAATGGCCCTTAGAGGCTTTTGCATCTGAACTCTTCATATATATATATATATATATATATATATATATATATATATATATATATGTGTGTGTGTGTGTGTGTGTGTGTGTGGCAGTATATAAATAACATAAATAAATGCATTACAGTATTGAGAAGCTAAGAACAGTGAAAATTAAAAAAAAAAAATGTATATAATTAAAAATTATAGTTTTAGGATACTGATGCTATTATAGCATCATTGATGTGCCACTATAGCTGTGCTATTAATATTGAAAAAATATAGTATTTGTTTATTAAAAACAAGTTTATTTTTTAATATAAGTTTTATTTGTATTAAAACTATATAAAATTTGTATTATCTCAAATAACAAAGAGGTTATGGTTTTGGTTTTAGATTTAGCTAACGATAACAACCCTGCAGGATCCATCACTTAATTTAAATGCAAACTATTTATTTAATATTAAGGGAAATTATGGCCTGGACATGATCTTGACAGGATTCGTGAGATCCACCCTTTCCAACTATTGATTTGTTGCTCCCGCTGTCTCTTTTGAGACGTATTTCTTTTTCATGAATTAACCGCCCTAAAAAATTTATAGCTCAGACAGTTATGATGATGAATTTGTTCTGTTTCAGAGAGCAGATCTGATATAAAGCATTCACAGGTGGTCTGCGCTCCCCGGTATGGCAATAGCCATAAAGACCGTGGCAGTTTTATACGCATTCAGCATTAAAACGGTGATGATGTGTCTCTAGCTGAGCTGCTAACTGCCATGGCAACACCAGGGACTCATGGGCCATTATGATGCGCCGTTAAGAGCCCATATGAACCTGTTCTTTTTAAAGAATAAGGGGTTTTATTGATCTATTTTGTGTGCATGTGAATCTGAGTGTGTTGTGTGTCTGTGTATGAGTGTTGTGTTTGTGGTGTGTGTGCACTCTAAAAATGCTGGGTTGTTTTAACCCAACTTTGGGTCAAATATGAACAAACCCAAATGATGGGTTAATTTTATTGAAAAATGTAACCCAATGGCTGTGGGTTTGTCCATATTTGACCCAAATTTGGGTTAAAACAACCCAGCAATTTTTAGAGTGTGCGTGTGTGTGCTATGTGCATGTTTGATTGTGTGGGTGCATGCATGCAACATTAAGAAAAAAGGAATATTGCCATTTTTTTCTTTCAGTAAACACTGAGATATTACAGGTCAAATACTGAATGTCCTTAAATAGACATTGTGTTGCTATTACACCTTTCAAATAGTTGTTCTAACCAATATTTAGTGAAACCAGGTATCTTTATATTGCCGTGTCCATACCTTTACCCGTTCTCCATCAGGCCCTCGCTCTCCTCCTCCGGTTCTCAGTGTTTCCCCTCTGCCTCCTGCAGGTCGAATCCGAGTGCCCTTTCCCCCCACCGATGTGCGAGTGTGTGAGCTGAGCGACACCTACGCTGTGCTGAGCTGGACTGAACCGGATCCGCGGGGCAGAGAGTCCCTCACCTACGCCGTGGAGCGGGTGAGAGTTGATCTTCGTCCCACACACGGCTCTCAGCTCAGCTCATTAAGACTGGCCCTGCGGGGGTCCTGCGCTTCTGCGTTTGTAGTTTTATCCTCAACCGCAGGCCTTAAAGTTGCGTTGGCTTTACACACTGAGCCAGCGGGCCAAATTAACACTGCACTTTGACTAGTTGGATAATTAGAGGCAGTGAATGCTGAATCCTGGGTGGCAGCAGGTGCAAAGCGAACGCATCATTAAACTACGGAGATCTTAACGCTGCTCATCCGTGTTATGTGACGGATGCATAATGTGTTTCCTCTTGACCTCAAAGCACTCGCTTGCTGTTTTTCTGAGATGTTGCTTCGGTCTGATAATGTGACTTTGAGTAGGAAGAACTAATAGATTCATTGCAATTCATGCACAACATGCTTAATTTAAAAACTAAAGAGCAATTCTGAGATGGATAAAAGTGAGTGCTTAATGAATGTTAAGTTAAACTTATTCAGGTTGATGGTTTCGGTGTTATTTTAGTATTATTATTTATTCGTATTTTGAATTAGATTCGTAATTTGATTTTTGTTTTCGTATATTATGTGCTTTTGATATTTTATTTCCTAGTGAAACATAAATATACTAAAATGTACTTGTAATACATTTAATTTACGCTAAGTAAACTACAAATGCATTTACATATCTATGTATTTAATATAAATACCCTGCAATAGTACGTTTGGTATGTTAAATAGAGTCTGTTAAATTGGAACTACTACTGTAATTTTGTACTTAATGTACTTTAGTTATCTGGAAGTGGTGCTGAAACATACTTATTATTATATAGTGTATTTAATTAACTCTTGCATGTGTACTTTAGGTACACTTTTAATATTGCATTTAAAGACTCGTGTTATATAGTGATATTAACCCTCTGGGGTTGTTCGGCCCAAATGGACCCGAAGAATTTAAATATATTTTTTTTTAAATCACAGCTTCCTCGGAATGGTCCGAAATTTGGTGACTTTGTTGGTATTTGGTATTTGAACACCCAAAAAAATTGGGGACAGGATGTGAATAATCTAAGTGGTTGTAAAAAAAATAGTCACACTTGGGGTGTCCGGGTCCAAATGGACCCGCATGGAAAATGGATGGGAAATTGGCAAAAATGTGAAAATACTGAGTTTTTTTGTGCGTACAATCTACAAATCAGCAACGATCTTGAAAAAAAGCACACAACAGTGAAGGGGTGAATCTATAAAACATCAAGAGTGCAAAACAGACACACACACACACACACACAAACACACTTTTATACACAAACACACCAAAAAAATTCAGATTATACGTTTTGCATTTTTAAAATGCTCAGTTTGTCCACCAGATGGCATCCATGTCATTTCAAAAATTGCTTTTATGAGGCCTAGGCTTGACTCTAAAATGAAATACAGCTTTAAAAAAAAATTAAAAATATATATTTTTTTAAATATTTTTTTCTATTATGTTCAATGGGGGGAAATTTTGTCATAATTATTGCATTAATACTAATTATATGTTTTTTATTTTTTATTTTATTTTTTCAAAACACCAAAAAAGAAAAGAAAAAATATTATAAAAAACGAGTAAAAAAAAAAAATCATGATTTTTTTTTTTTTTTTTAAATATGAATCCCGCCCTTTGGGTCCATTTGGACCCGAACACTCCGAGTGTGACTCTGAAACGAACAACCCCAGAGGGTTAAAACATATTAAGAAATGTGCATTGTGTAATAAAGAAGTACTCCAAATAAATTGCAATTATAATATTTATACCAGTGAGTCTAAAGCAATATGTCAGTAAATATGTTTGTAGTATACTCATGAAATAAATGTATTTTAAATACATTTTGATAGTTTTTTTCACTAGGGTTTCTTTTATTTTAACAGCGGTAGTTTTTTTTTTCAGTTTAAGGCTTTCATCTAATATTTATATTCTAATATCAGCTTTATTTCAATTGCTGAATGTAATTTAATTTTTCATAGTTTTAGTTCTGGGTTTAGTTGACAATAATAGTACTGGATGAGTGAAAACGTATTCTAAAAATTATTCATTATTCTATGATTGCCATTTTGAACTTGCAGTAACTCTCTCCAGCATATGTTAAATTAGCTTGGTGGAAAGTTCATGTCGTAGAGCAGATAAAATGACCCAACAGGCAGTTTTCAAGTTTAGCTTCTCAGTTTCACAAGGCCTTCAGCACTACAAAAGGTCAGGATCCTTCTGGCTTTTTGAGGGCAGTTTTAAAGTTTCACATCATCTCTTCATGACTCAGTGTAAAAGTGCTCGCAGTAATCCGTTCTCAGAGCAGAGGAGGCACAGTCGTCCAATATAAGACAAGAAAGAGCTCCAGCCGCTTGCCGACTCTGTAATGAGCAGGAGAAAGCGCACACTGCCACAGGACATGGACTTTATTGGACTTTTTATAAGAAGCACCATAATAAAACTGTCTAGTTCATCCGGATCATCGGAAATTGTGGGGGCAGAAATACATATAAATGAAAAAGATTTAAATGTCCATTTACCAGTGCATGTTTTATTAAGAGAAGATTGCAATAGTTTATCATCATTGAGACTTCTTATTTAAAACTCCAATCCGTAACTTTTTAGCTGCTTAGCTCGATTCAAAACGGTAAGCTTGTAATAATTTTTTTAATTCCAATGGTACTGGTGGATTTCAGCGGGAAATTCGAGTATGTGTCATTACGTCACATCTATACACACACATCTGTACACATCAAGAAGAGTTTCGGCTAGTCGGCTATATTGAGTCATTAAGTCACATCGGTACACATCAAGAAAAACTACGGACTGCAGCTTTAATGCACTTGTAATATATAGTTAATTTATTTATAGTTAAAAAAATTTATTTTATATATATATATATAGGGCTGTGAATCTTTGGGTAGACAGCGAATCGATTCGATTCACGATTCATAGGTTTTCGATTCAAGAACGATTTGTGCAAATTCAGAACGATTCAATTCGATGCGATTCGCATCCAAATTCAATGCGATTCGATTAATTCGATTCTTAATTTTTTATATGCATTATAGTATTATTTCAATGCTTCACCCAATGGGTCTTTGTCTGGGTTTGAATTAGCCTACACAGTGGCCTTCGGGGGTCAGATAGTGGGGATTTTGTCCATTGTAAATGTTAGTTCATGCTTGTTTTTAATTTTAATGAATATATTATTATAAAAAAATTCAATGGCCTATAAATTAGCATTTGTAGAAAAGTAGCCAATATTTTGAAAAAGGCTTTTAAAGTATTGCATTAAATGACTACATGCACAAATTAATGGAGACGTTTTCATTAGTTTCATTTTGCGTCCTCTCAGTGCACTCGTTAACATCTTTTCACTGGATTTTTCTCGCGCTCGGCCCCATAGCTCTCATGTAACTACAGATTTTTGAGCAGTCCATGTTTGAGCACTCCAGCTGAGCTCTCTGTCGAGAAAGCAGTAGTTTTGAGGCAAACCGCTCAAGCCATTGATAAAGCTGCCATGCCATGGCGTGGGCACTATATATACACACACAAACACAGAAAGGAAATTAGTTTGATTCCCAGGGAAAACAAATACTTGCTAAATGTTTCCCTTGAATGTACTGTCACTTTGGATACATTATAAATCATAAAAAATAAATGTAAAGATGCATCGTTTTATTAAAGAGAATTTTGCAATTCTTTATTTTTACAGATCTTACTTTATGCATATGTAACTATATGTAACTCTATTTATAAGTATGTATATGTATATAAAAATATGCAGAACAGAAATAAGAAAGAAATGGGTTTGATTACCAGGGAAAACTTGCAAAATGTTTACCTTGAATTTACTGTCACTTTGGATAAATGATAAATCATAATACGTAAAGGTAAATATGCATTGACTGTTGGTTATTTCAGTCCATCACAGGGAAGGAGAGCTGGCACCTGGCTAGTATGGATATGACGGTGCTGTCGACTAGATTTGCTGCGTTTGACCAGCAGAAGGGGAAGTCGTACTCTTACCGTGTTCGTTCCGTCAACAAGTACGGGATCAGCGAGCCGTCTCTTCCCAGCGGACCCGTCTCACTGGGACAACCACTAGGTGACCTTTTTCTTGAAGGAATCGTCCACATAAAAACACAAATGAGTCATTATTTATTCACACTCATGTCATTCCATTTGTTGTTCTTTGTTGTAACATTAAAGGAGAGTCATAAGCAATCATACTGATGCTTAGAACGAAACAGTAAAACAATAACAAGCATGCCTTAAAATAGATTTAAATCGACTTTATCCTTGTAAAAAAGCATAATTAAGGGTCTATTGTCTATTGTACATCTATTGTCTTCTATACGTTCTATTGTCTTATGGTTAAAGTGTACTACTGAATGTACTGACAAACATTTATGGTAAAATAAAATGGACTTTAATGTCATTTCTATTAGAACTTGTATGTCATGCTTTTAAATATATTAAAAATAGTGCTGTTAAATTGTTTAATTGCGATTAATCGCATCTAACATGAAAGTTAGTGTGTGTGTGTGTGTGTATACATATATGTGTATATACATTACAAACTTAGATGTGATTAATTGTAATAGAAAAAAAATCAAGATGTGTATTTCTTTAAAGCATGACAAAATAAGGTTTAATTTGTACTTTTGGTTTTGACATTTTAGGTGGCTAATTTGTACGAATTCACTCGTAAAGTGCTTGCTAAATCGTACATATTTTATGCGTTTCCCAATTTGTATGAATTCAATATTCATACCTCTGAATATTACCTACCTCTGACCCCGAAAGACGAAAGAAACTCATACAGGTTTGAAATAGCTTGAGAGTGAGTGAATGATGACAGAATATTCATTTTTGGGTGGACTATCCCTTTAAGCACACTTCTTTTTCACAGGTGTAGTGTTTGTAAACTTGCACAGCTCGGTGTGAATTTTGTTCTAATGTGTTTTAGGAGTTCCTGCCCCACCAAACGGCGTCCTGCCAAATCGAGACACTGACAGCTCAGTCCTACTGCAGTGGAAGGAACCTAAAATAACAGATGGCATTGTGGGATACTACCTGTACTGCAGTGAGATTGGAAGTGGACAGTGGAAGACCATCAACAATAAGCCCATCACCAAAACCAGGTCTCTTCTCTTTGTATCTTGTTTAAGAGGCAATTATGAATACAGACTCCAATAATTTCAAAAGCTGTCACTGGGCCTGTACCTTTTCAAAAGGTACACTTTTGTACCTAAATTATGCATATTGGAACGTTAATGGTACATATTAGCACCTAAAATGTACATAATAGTACCTAAAAGTACATATTAGCACCTAAAATGTGCATATTAGCACCTGAAATATACATATTACTACCTGAAATGTACATATTAGCACCTAAAATGTACGATATTAGCACCTAAAATGTACATATTAGCACCTGAAATGTACATATTAGCACCTAAAATGTACGATATTAGCACCTAAAATGTACATAATAGTACCTAAAAGTACATATTAGCACCTAAAATGTGCATATTAGCACCTGAAATATACATATTACTACCTGAAATGTACATATTAGCACCTAAAATGTACGATATTAGCACCTAAAATGTACATATTAGCACCTGAAATGTACATATTAGCACCTAAAATGTACGATATTAGCACCTAAAATGTACATAATAGTACCTAAAAGTACATATTAGCACCTAAAATGTGCATATTAGCACCTGAAATGTACATATTAGCACCTAAAATGTACGATATTAGCACCTAAAATGTACATAATAGCACCTAAAAGTACATATTAGCACCTAAAATGTACGATATTAGCACCTAAAATGTACATATTAGCACCTAGAATGTACGATATTAGCGCCTAAAATGTACATATTACTACTTGAAATGTACATATTAGCACCTGAAATGTACATATTAGCACCTGAAATGTACATATTAGCACCTAAAATGTACAATATTAGCACCTAAAATGTACATAATAGTACCTAAAAGTACATATTAGCACCTAAAATGTGCATATTAGCACCTGAAATATACATATTACTACCTGAAATGTACATATTAGCACCTAAAATGTACGATATTAGCACCTAAAATGTACATATTAGCACCTGAAATGTACATATTAGCACCTAAAATGTACGATATTAGCACCTAAAATGTACATAATAGTACCTAAAAGTACATATTAGCACCTAAAATGTGCATATTAGCACCTGAAATATACATATTACTACCTGAAATGTACATATTAGCACCTAAAATGTACGATATTAGCACCTAAAATGTACATATTAGCACCTGAAATGTACATATTAGCACCTAAAATGTACGATATTAGCACCTAAAATGTACATAATAGCACCTAAAAGTACATATTAGCACCTAAAATGTACGATATTAGCACCTAAAATGTACGATATTAGCACCTAAAATGTACATAATAGTACCTAAAAGTACATATTAGCACCTAAAATGTGCATATTAGCACCTGAAATATACATATTACTACCTGAAATGTACATATTAGCACCTAAAATGTACGATATTAGCACCTAAAATGTACATATTAGCACCTGAAATGTACATATTAGCACCTAAAATGTACGATATTAGCACCTAAAATGTACATAATAGCACCTAAAAGTACATATTAGCACCTAAAATGTACGATATTAGCACCTAAAATGTACATATTAGCACCTAGAATGTACGATATTAGCGCCTAAAATGTACATATTACTACTTGAAATGTACATATTAGCACCTTAAATGTACATATCAGCACTGATATCAGCACCTAAAATGTACATATTAGCACCTGACATGTACATATTAGCACCTAAAAGGGACAAAAGTTTACCTTTTGAAAAGGTCCAGTGACAGCTTTCATACCTTTTTTCTGCGAGTGAAACTGTTTTTCTTCTCTCAGGTTTACAGTTCATGGCCTGAAGACCAATAAAGAGTATGTATTCAGGGTGAAGTCTGTGGGACTGGCGGGAAACAGCATCTACTCGGACGAGTCTCCTGCCATTCGAGTCAAATCAGCGATAAGTGAGTGTGACCGGCCAGAGAACCAGTCGAGACCATGCAGTCAGACAGCTTTAAATAGGACGCCGTCCCGTCTAAAGTGCTCCCAGCTGTCTGCTTGAGCTCTAAACTGTTTACGGCCTCAGTGTGAATTTATAATTCTCTGAATGAGCTTCCTGCATGAAGAGAGACATCAGGTGAAGTCTTTTGACTTGGGTTAGTGAGCAACCATCAGCTATATGTGCGTATAAGGCATTCGCGACCTCATATTCATGCCCTAGAACATCCAACACTCTTAAATTGTCTTGTTAAAAAATGTTTTTAAAGAAGTTTTCTGCTGCTAAAGAACAAATGCCCTTTCAAGCTTCATTACTTATAAAAGCAGAGCTGCGCAGACATGATGCTCTGGTGCCTCACAGTCCTGACCAAAGACAAGCTTATACTCAAGAGATATTGAAGTAGTCATTCTGTGTCTTGCTTAATCCTGACAGAAATAGGCTGTTGTCTGACGGTTCAGCTTTTCTCTTTTTTTAATAACGTCTGAATCTGAGTGGCACTCCTGCACTAATGTGTGTTGAGATCAGGACAGATCCGTCTGTTAGCATCGAACACCAGAGACGCTTCAACCACATGTTACTGCTGATCAAACCTGGCTTTTTATATACAGTAAATGATCACATTATCCTTACAGAAAACGCAAGTGCTTTCAATAATTATTAGGTTGACCAGAAGTTCCCATCATCCTCTGAAATTCCATTTGAATTAAAATTAGTTGGCGATGATAAATTAATTGAAATGAGAACGATTGTATTATTAACATATCATATTTCTTTAATTAAAGCCTGGTGTGTTTCAGCCCTCTTTGCGGACACCTCACTTCATTTTCCTTTCCTTTTGACTTGAATCAAATGCAAATGCCATGAAATAAAGTAGAATTGAAGCTCCTCAAGGAAGTTGCTTTGCTTGCAATTCAGCAAAAAAAGTTTTGGGCAAGTTTAGTTTTCAGTCAGTGTTTCTGTGTAAATGAAACGGCGCGTTGGTTGGAGTCGTTAGGGCAAATCTGCAATGTTTAGAATTTGCATTTATTTTTAGTGGTCTGGACTGAATTCATTGTAGTAGTTTAATGCTTAGAAGTTTTAAAAGTTTTAACATTGTGTTGTCGCAAAAACAGTGCAGTAAATACAGTGTAGTTTGTATGCTTGCATTTATATGTGAATTTTGAGTTGACACATTTCATTTATTATAATTACAACATTAAAACTTAAAATCATTAAATGTAATCCCACTTATAATATGCTTGTAATAAGCGATCTGATTTGTCTTCCATGGGCGGAAATTAATATTACACACCTAATTTGCATAAGGTTTATTATCTTAGACTAAAACTTTTTTTAATAATTCAATTAAATCCGAAATTAAATTAAAAAATACATTTTTGGATTAAAAAAAATGTAAAAGAAAATTATAAGAAATGTTGCCTTGTTGCCTTTCTAAAATAAAAGAAATAAGTTAAAATAAAAATAAATAAGTTAAAATAGTTAAGTTAGTTAAGTTTAGTTAGAAGCACTAAAATTACTAACTTGAAATAAATAAATGCTAAAACTGAACTAAAACAAAAAAATTAAACCTAAATAGTAAAGATTAACAAACATAAACATATTTTTTTGGTTTACTTAGTTAAAAAATAGATCAGGAGTAAACAAATAAAAAATAAACAAAATAGTTAAAATAAACTAATAAATATAACAAAATTACTAAACTAAAATTAAAAACATTTAATGTAAAAACATAAGCTAATTTAAAATATTAATAAAAAATATAACAGTATATAAATCAACACTGATTTGCATCTTTATGCATCGCACACACTGAAAAATAAAAAAAGCACTTACTGGAATTTCTGAAAGGACAATGAGGATGCTTCATTTTTAGTCAGCTGAAACCAGGACACATTTTTGCATGTGAAATTTTTAGCGAATAATCAGAACACCGGGACACACCTCATGAAACCGGGACATTTAGTCATCCTGATTTTTATTTTTATTTATTTTTTTCAGCTCCAAAACTCTGAGTGAATCAAATAATCACTTCATTGATTCATTAACAATTGATAGCAAACATGGTGTGGTTCACTTCAGCAGTAATTGCAGCTCCAGCTCTGTGACCTCTGACCCTCCCTTCCCACATCACTACAGGTGTGCCATCCTGCCCATCAGCCATCACTGTACTGCACTGCACCGGAGGAGAGATGCTGATTGGCTGGAGAGCCCCGGCCAATCACGGAGGAGACCCTGTGCGCGGCTACTACCTGGACCAGAGGCAGAAATCCCAGAGCATCTGGCGGGAGGTCAACGCCAAGCCCATAAAAGAGAGACAATACAAGGTAGGGCTGCTCAACTATGGCCAAAGCTGGAAACACAATTATTTAACACCATATGATCAAATTCTTATTTCACGATAGGAGTCTTTTTAAATGTCAGTGAAATTTCACAATAATCGATCGATTCTTCTGCAAAAACTATCATTAGTTTACTAATGTAAGACAAAAGGTCCTCTTAATAATTACATGAGTGATCTGTGCCGCTGTCTTGGCAAGGACTCCCTTGAAAAAGAGATTAGTAATCTCAATGGGATTTTTTTTTTCCTGGTTAAATAAAGGCTAAATAAAAAAATCAGACAAGTAAACAGTCAGCAATACAATAAGAACTAAGAAATGAATTATAAATAAATAAATACAACAGTAATACAACAATAATTTGGCAACAGGTATATTAGGCTGTAGAACCAGACTGATATATCGGCCGGACGATATTATCGGCCGATATTAGGCATTTTCCATAATATCGGTATCGGCAGTTATAACGGCCGTTAAATGAATATTTAAAAAATAAAATAAAAACAGACGAAACACGCTTTAATCATCTCTCCTTGGCCTGTTATATTGAAAATGTATGTTTTACAATTTACAGTATGATGTTTTCTATTGCTAAGTTATGGCTCATCATAGACTAGCTAACCACAAAGCTAGCTAATGCCACTATCATCAGAAGACCGCTAACGTTAACATTAATGAGCTTGGAAACCACAATGAACTTTTTCTGCCTTAATAAAGTAATGATTACTGTATTTATAACTAGCATATCTCTAGTTACAGTCCCTGCATTGTAAAATGTAAGTTATACTTGCGAGGAATGAACATTTAGACATACGTAGAGAAAAAGTATCAAATGTATCTTGTGCAGAAAAGTTAGCTTTTCTTTAACACGTGTGTGAAATCCAACAATATTTAATAAAAAAACAAAATATCGGCCGATATATCGAATTTAAAAACCCAAAAATATTTGTATCGTATCGGCCTTCAAAATCCTTTATCAGTCGGGCTCTAATAGGCTGCTGTCACTTTAAGTCCTGATGCAGTGATTCATGATTCTGTTATACATGTATTTTCTTTCTTAACTGTTTACGTTAACTTAAAGCATAACTGACTGTGTTTACATAAATAATCGCCAAGACATAACTCGCATTTTGACGGTATTTTGTGTATTCGACTGTTTAAGCGCAATAAGCTGCGAAAAGAACTCAATTTAGTACTAAGAAGCCGATTTATGTGCCGCACTTCGGATGTGAGAACAAAATCTGAGGGAATGATGTGCAATATGCGCAATCCCAAGGGAAAATTCAAGCCCTGTAACACGCGGCGCGAGTGAGTGAGTGGAGGCGGGTTTGTGTGTAACTCGCTGTCAGAGAGTATAATCTGTGGAAAATTACTATTGGTAAGCATTTCAGATGTTTAAGCATTCTGATATGTATCGAAAACACTGCATTGCACTTTTTATTAAAAAGACTACAGTTGAAAAATGTATTTATTATACATAAATTTCAAGTTTATTTATTCACTGATGCATTTGCTGACATGCTGCTTCAGCGACTAATGATGAGGCCAGCTTAAATCAGTCATAAATAATAATTGTCACTGCTCAAAGTTTCATTACAATTCATGCCAGGCACATCTGCCTTTGTCTAACTTTTCTTACTTTAAATGTGTCACCGAGCAACTATGGTGTCCATGGAGACTTCATTAAAACTTAAAGCAGTGTTTATTTTAGATTGTTTTCCGTCTTTAATTAGACCGAGTTCAAGTCTGAACATCACATTATAGTGGTTTGATGGAAAAAAAAAAATCTCAATCAATTGTTAGAATAAGTGATGATTAATTTGTGGAGTACGTGGACAGAGGCCACGGCCTTGGTCTTGTCATTAGTTGCTGCAGATGCGTGTAAACAAATGCACCATTTAATTACTATACACTTACTCTATGTTGTGGCGTTTACGCCCACATTCTGAGTTAATTATTGGTTGTTAAAAAAACAGGATTTTTAAGTGTGATAATGTACAAAACTGTCCACAAGTACAGTGCAAATCTTTGACAACATGTTATTTCACAAACTATTTTCTAACTGACTTGGCATGAATATTACTTCGTTTTAGATAAATAAAATGCCTTAAAATAAAGTGACTTTGGTCTGTCCCACATCAGAGGTCTTGACCTTGTCGACTGCATTCAACGTATAAAATCAAATTATACATGTCTAACCAAGTTGATATTCGGATAATTGTTTCATTAATTTGATTTTTTAAGGTGTCGTGGACGGTGTTATTTTACTGATTTTTAAAACTATTTATTAAGTATGTACGTATTTATTATTAGTTTGATTTTGATATTTTCCATGTAAAAATTTTAATTTAAGTTTGTGTCGTCAAATTTGTCCGTTTTTAATATTTCTATTTGTCTTTGTTTTATTCTTTATCTCAGTTTTAGCCTTATTGATTATAGTACTTATAGTACTTTTTTTTAGTTAACGAAAACCATTTGTGAATAGTTTTCCCATTGGATTTTGGCTGTTATATGCACTAATATCATATGTCTGATCACTTAGTGCACTTCACCCTAACAAGATGCATGATTGGAGGAATTATTCATATCTGAAGCACAAACTTAATGCAAAAATCACATCCTTACACCCAAATCTGACTAAAAGTAATAGTGTTGCTTGCCTTAGCAAACACCAGTAAAGAATCGACAGGAAAGAGAACATATATTCATTTTCATATATATATAACATATATAACATTTTCTGAAGGTTTAGTGTCGTTTTGGATGAAACAGAACTTGTTTATGAGTTTTAAGTCCTTTATCTGTGTTTGTGGAAAGTGTCGTGAATGCACATCGCCCTCTAATGGACTGAAATAGCGTGGTTGAAGGAGTTTTTGTTTCTGCTCAATTTGCTCACAGGAAGACTTAAAGTACATTATGTTAATTAGAAAACATTGATCTTTGAGTGCGCTGCGTGTTCGTAGCATGTGAATCCCATGTTAATGATTTCCGCCTCTCATTGAGCAGTCAAGGAGAAACACCACCTGCCCAGCCTCATTACACACCATCACAAACACACACCACCCTACACTCAATCCCTTCACCGTTCCTGACGCCTGCCATCTAGTGGAGCTTCTGCGTCCCAGCAGGCAGTGGGTGGCCTGGTCTCCACGCTCAAGAGATTTGAAGCTTCTCAGATAAGCCTCTGATTTGATAAGAGGATTCGGGCAACAGTTAATCACGAGTCTAAAGGCTCTAGAAGGCCTGTGTTCCTAAATCCAATCCCAATTATGTGTGGCTAGGTGGCCACTCGTGGTGATCTTTGCTTCTCATCACAGAAACCCATGTTTATCGGATAAGTAACTCTGTGGCCTAATGGTCCTCCATATAGACATCAACTGGCAGATCAATACACCAGAGATAAAGGCTTTTCTGGGTAGGCGTGTTGTTGTTAACTGAAAGTAAAAATAAAACCATAAAGAAACATTTTCATTACTTGAAATAATATTAAAATAAAATACTTTTTTTCAGGTAGTAGAAAAGATGCCTTTCCTCATTTTTATTTATTTTTATTTGTAGTAAAAGAACTAAAATTGAGACAAGAACTATAATAAAAAGGTACAAAAGCCGTCACTGTGACGGTACCTTTTCAAAAGGTATCTTTGTACCTAAAGAGTAGTAGTCCCCCAAAGGAACATATTGGTACCAAAAGTGAACATATTAGTACCTAACTGGTACATATTCTAAACCTTTTGAAGAATTTTGTCCCGGTGACAGCTTTTTTTTTCTGAGAATATACTGACATGTTTTGTTTTGTTTTTACTAATAAAAATGACAAAATGAATTGCTAAAAATTTGAAAATTATCACGTTTTCATATGAAATGATGAAAGTTATGAAAACTGAAAATATAAGAATAAAAACGAATTAAAAATATGAATCGACACTAGATATTAAAGCTGCTCGGGACAAACTTTTGGCTTGACAAAGCCTTGTCTGAAATTTTGTTGAAAATCCTAATGTGTCTAGCATCATTGTCTGTACATTATTAGCATTAATTAGCATATTGCACGCTTTTTTTAGCATGTTGCTTGCATGAATTAACATGATACTTGCATGCCTTACCAATTGCTAACATGTTTCTATAGCATGTTTGACCATTTTGCTGGCATGTTTTAACACCTTGCTAGTATGTTTAACATTTATAGCATGATTGAACACATTTCTAGTATGAATTAGCATGTTGTTAATATGATGTACCATTCTCTTAGCATGTTTTAACATGTTGCTAGCATGATTTAGCATGTTGCTTGCATGTTTTAACATGAATTAGCATATGTTGCTAGCATGTTTTTAACACATTGATAATACAATTAGTATTTTGTTAACATGATGTAACATTCTTTTAGCATGTTTCAACATAACATGTTTTAAAACACTGCTAATATGAATTACCCTGTTACTAACTTGTTTTAGCACATTCCCTGCATGAAGTAGGCTAGCATGTTGCTGACATTATTTAGCATGTCGTCCTAGATGTTTTTGATTTTTTTGTTTGTGCTTTGGGACTGTTTTTTCTTCTATTTTAGGTTTCTCTTTTAGGGTTCTTTCTGCAACATACATTGTTTCCATTATTTGTCTGTTTTGTTTTTAGGTGACAGGCCTTGAGGAAGGGAATTTTTACCAGTTTCGTGTCTTCGCGACCAACATTATTGGCCTGGGCGACCCTTCTGAACCCAGCGAACTGTTTCTATGTGAACGCTGGACAATGCCTGAGGCTGGTAAGATCATGCACAGTTACGAATGGGAATTATATAAGGGATTTTACATGGGTTTTTAGTTTTTTATTTTTCATATACAGATGCCTACAGTTCCGAATATCCAATCTTGACTAATCTTTTGTGAACGTAATATATTTTAGCCTTTGTATTAATGCTATTATGCATAAGTAAGCACATGGCATTATACATTTTTACACTTTCCTTGTTGTCTTCCATATTTATATATTTCACACTGTTTTATGTAACACTTTAGTTGGTCAATAATTGTGTTACTCTCCTGTCGATCTGTTTCTCATGTCTATTATTTGGGTAACACTTTACAATAAGGTTCGTTAGTTAACATTAGTTAACTACATTAGTTAATATGAACTAATAATGAATAGCACATATACAGCATTTGTTAATCTTTGTTAATGTTATTTTCAACATTTACTAATACTTGATTAAAATCTTGTTACCATTAGTTAATGCACCGTGGCGTGAACTAACATGAACAAACAATGAACAGCTGTATTTTCATGAACTAACATTAACAAAGATGAACAAATGCAGTAACAAATGTATTGCTCATGGTTAGTGCATGTTAGTAAATACATTAACTAATGTTAACTAATGAACCTTATTGTAAAGTGTTACCATTATTTGTTTTCTGGTTTCATGCTTTTCAGAAGTATCCCTATTATGCAATTTTAATGGTTCCTAATTTTGTTTTGGAGTCACTAACAAAAGGTTTACAAGCATCCAAGGTCAAAAAAACACTTTAATTTTCTTATAATATACATTTCAATCGGCCCAGTCTGCTGTGATTGGACAGGCTGGCATTATGCAAATTTGATACATTGTTTCATAGTATGTAACAGGAAAAGAGACTAGAATTATTGACAACTCGTTTCTGCAGTTTAGAATTCTTTCTTGTGGGAGTCGATAACTTTATTTGTCACGCATTTGATCTTTAAAACTTTGCTTTTTACATTCACAAACAGCTTTATTACACATTGCATGAAAGACAATATCTGAAAAAGCATAACGGGGCACTTTAAAAACGGTTCTTGTAGCAATTTTGATGATGAAAGAATGGTTGGATATTTTGGAAACTTTTCTAATTTCATCAACGTATGTGCAGCTCTTGCAAAGGAATACAGTTATATTACCAAATTACGTTTATTTCACATTTATATTTATTGCATAATACGTTTTTTTATTTATTTGTTACACTTTTTAATCATAAGAAACATTAAATGTGATTTGAGTTTCAATCTTGTTTTAGAAGCTTCTCTGAACTAAATCCCATCTAGCACATGGCTTTTTTAATATCGTAAATCTTTGTGTTTCAGTTCTTTATATTTCATAATAATTTCATTTCTATAGTGTGTTTCTCTGGCACAGAAATACAGAATTCAACCATCTATAAAAGTAGTTTTTCTTCCATTGTACTGTTCACTTGTTTGCCATTTTTAAGGGTTATTTGACTTACAACACATTCATTTAACAAGAAAGAGTGGAGACCGCACAACATTTTTCCTTTGTTTATCAGTTGTATGCCTTGGCATTTTGTGAGCTAGATGATTTATTTCTTTTGTTTTATTGTGTTCAAGAGGATAAACACAGCTCATATAAAGTGGTGTGAATATAATAGAAATGAATGCATCTAGAAAGTATGTGATTTCTTCAGTTTTCAAACAGGTTTCCTGAACACAATTAAAATGAGTTGTGAATGGACAGAGTGATGATGGAAAACTGAATGAATGTGTTTATGTTCTTCATTATTTTCTCACAGGTTGTCCATATGATCTGGAATTTAGAGAAGTGAGATGCAACTCTCTGGTGCTGCTGTGGGTGGAGCCTGTGTACAAGGGCCAATCAGAGATCAGTGGGTATATAGTGGACATCAGTGAGGGGGCGGAGTCTGAGGATTGGACCCCTGTGACGAGTGAGGTGGTGACAGAAACTCACTTAAAGGTCTGTTCAGTTCTCTTTTTGCAGTACTTTATCAGAGTTGGGTCATATTCAGAATTTAAGAGTTTGAACTGAATTGCAATCTAATGCTTAATTTCATATTTGAATTACATTCGTGCATCAGGAATAACAAGACACTAATTCAAGACACCACAGGTGAATAGGGTGGAAAAAACAACTAATAACTAAAAAATAATTAGATATCACTCCTTACATTAATCATTAAAACAATTGTTTTTATTGCACATTTTCTGAAATGTTATGTTTAAATATTATTCTTCCATCTGCTCCTTTCTGATCATGGAAATGTAAAGGAAATTTCAAATGAATTGTATGAGATTGGTATAAATAATGCATTTTCATGAAAAGAATAAAAGAAAAAAGCTAAAGATAAAGATATTAAAGGTTTTTATAGAGGGGATTTTGGATCAGTGTTAATAAAGTTTACTCATGGTTTTATTTTGAATTAGCTTTTTTAATGGAAAATTTATTTTAATTTTTAATAATTTTGTCATTTTATAACTTTAAAAAAAATATTGCTAATTAGGTTTAAGAAATTTCAGTTTTAGTATTTTTCTTTTATTTCCAGTTAATATTTGTAGTTCAACTTAAACTTATTTTATCTTATTGCCAAAGCATCATTTCTCATTTTCATGTAGTTAAATTCTTGTAACTAATATTTTTGTTTTATTTCAGCTTTATTTAACAGAAATGTGTTTAATAGTTTTAATTTTAATGAATGATAATAACCCTGTTTGTTGGATATCTCTGTTTATCACTCCATAAATCAGAAAATACTGTCAACAGCCAAAAAAAATACATTTTTCACCATATTTTTAGGAATAAAATGATATATAAATCACTGATATATGAAGAAATCTTTCTTTAAAACCCTTCAAAATATAGATTGGAATAAAACAGAAACATTTGGTGTATGTAAAGCTGCTGAAGTGGAGATTTCTGACAAACTCAACACCTTTAAAGATTTGTATTATAACATAAATCTGCAAATAGATCAAATGCAATAAACATATATTTTAGAAATTGTATTTCCACTAGTCTTAAAGAAAACATGTTATGGAAGCAAAATAGTCTAAAATCTTAAAATTCACCAGTACATAAAAAAACATGTACCTGCAGTGTCTTGCAATAAAATGCATCTCAATGCAATTGAGAATAGTTTGGAGTTTTTTGCATCTAGTCCCAGAAAGCTTTGAAAGAGGAGTGACCTGTTTTCGGATGGTTGTTGATCAGGTTTCAGGTCTGAAAGCAGGTCAGATGTATCGCCTCCGTGTGTCTGCGGTGAATGACGCTGGAGTCGGCATGTCTTCTGTGCCGTCTGAGCCAGTCAAAGCACAGACTAAAGCAGGTCAGATCCCTGGAAATCTGCAGAATGATTTCATTCTCCCTTTACACTGAGTTGCATTTAACTCTATCCCACGTTTGCCACCAGGAACCAAAGAGATTGAGATGGGAGTTGATAATGACGGCTTCATCTTCCTGAGCTTTGAAGCGGCTGATGTGGCCGATGGAGACGTCTTTAAGTGGAATAAGAACTACGGAAAAGCTATTGATGCCGGACGAGCCCGCTTGGAGAACAAAAACAACAGGTCTTTTGCCAATATGTCAGAATATGAGCACAACAGTGACACTTTTTTCAGTAACTTTGGTTCTGGAAGCTTGTCTCTCATTTATTTTTGCCATTGGCAATTCCAACTTTTTGAAAAAACTGTGAATCAAACCATCCAACAACTATGATTAAACAAAAAAGTTCAAATCCGAATTTGACTTATTTTATGAGCAAATGATACTCGTCCCATGAAGCATTGCAAATTGCATGCTGCAATATTAATCTATTAATTTATAAATATAAAACAGCAAATATTACGATATTTAACATGTATATTAATTATCTTAATATATGCTATTTTATATATATTAGGGCTGTCAAACGATTAATTAATCGTATCCAAAATAAAAGTTTGTGTTTACATAATAATAATACAATAATAATTAAACTGTGTATAATAATTTTGTTTATATATAAATACACACACATGCATATATATTTAAGAAAAAAATATTATTTATATATAAAATATTTCTTAAATTTTCTTAAATATATACAAGCATATGTGTGTATTTATATATAAAATAATTATACACAGTGCACCCACATATATTATGTAAACACAAACTTTTCTTTTGGATGCGATTAATCATTTGACAGCCCTAATATATATATATATATATATATATATATATATATATATGATTTGTTTGAAAGAAGTCTCTTATGCTCACCAAGGCTTAATTTATTTGACCAAAACTACAGTAAAAGTAATATTGTGAAACATTTTTGTATATTAGAATGATTTCTGAAGGATAAAAATTCAACTTTGCCATCACAGGAATAAATTACATTTTAGAATATATTCAAATAGAAAAAAAATATTTAAAATTGTAATAATAAATCACAATATTACTATTTTTGCTGTATTTTTTTATCAAATAAATACAGCCTTTGTGAGCATAAGAGATGTGTGTGTGTGTGTGTGTGTGTGTGTGATACACCTTGAACATTCTTAAAAGAATTGTCACTCAAAAAATAAGAATTGCTGACATTTATTCAACCTTGTGAGAGTTTCTTTCTTCCAAGGAAAATAAAATCTGAATCTTTAAAGAACATCCTGGTGACTCTTTACCAATAAAATGTGATAAAATGTCCCATAAAGGTAGTTCATATTTGTGTTGTGCTGAACGTTCCCAGTCTTCTGAAGCCATATGATTACTTCCAATCTTCTGTCACAGAAGAAATAAATTCCTACAGTTTGGGGTTTGGGTAAATCCTGGTGATGATTTGGTAAACTGTACCTTTAAATATGTGATTCAGATGTTGGTCATGCATGTCTCCCAGGTCTGTTCTTACCTTCACGGACGCCTCAGAGCAGGATCTGGGCCTTTACACAGTGGAGCTGAGCAGAAACCCAGACGTCTCCTCTAGCTTCACCTTCACCGCCCAGGGTAGATATTCATTTCCATCCCGGCATAATGCATTACCTGAACACGGTGCCATAAGACCTTGTGCATCTGTTCAGCATGAAAACTTGATGCATAACTCGTCTTTTCTTAGCGTGACCTCGGTATTTTATCATCATTTGGCCGTTGATTAATAGTTTGTCAAGCCCCTTTGCCTTAAACCATGTTGTACAAGATCTGTGTGTTTTAACCCTCTGTGTTTGTGTTAGATATCAACTGCATGACAAACATAATCTTTAAACTTGAAATCAAATTTTTAAGATGTCTGATCATTCTGACAGCAGTCGGTATCTTCGTCTTGATAGTGTGATTGAACTTGACTTTTCTGCAATTGTGGCGTTTTCTCTCTCAGATCTGGAGCGACTGACAGAACTCAGCTGGCATGTCAGAAACCCGTGTAAGTGAATCAAATGCACTTCAGAAACTGCGTAAATGTTCAGAGAATCTAAAGTCAACACTAGTGTTCAAAGTTTAGGGTGTGTTTTGAACGAAGTCTCTTCTGCTCACCGAGGCTTCGTCTATTTCATCAATAAACCGTAATATTGTAAAATATGATTACAATTTAAAATTACTAATTTCTACTGTATAAGTTTTAAAATGTAATTTATTCCTGTGATCAAAGCTGAATTTTCAGCATCATTACTCCTGTGTTCAGTGTCACATGACTCTATTATGATGATTTATTCAATTCAATTCAATTGACATTTGTTTGTAAAGCACTTTTCACAATACATAGCATTTCAAAGCAGCTTTACAGAAAATGTTTCCTCATTACAATTAAGGGTAATTTGTTAATTAATGTCCATATGCAGTTATTACAAGTTTTGATTGTAATGATTACATATATGAAATGTATATATATATATATTAGCCCGACCGATAAAGGATTTTGAAGTCCGATACCGATACAAATATTTATTGGTTTTAAAATCCGATATATCGGCCGATATTTTTTTTTTATTATTATTTCAGAAACGCGCAACAAATTGTAAAACATACATTTTCAAAATAACAGGCCAAGGAGAGATGATACGTCTCATTGCTATAACTGTCACGCGCTATTAAAGAAATACTTCAGTCACATTGTCAAAAGTTAAAAGGACTACACTGTAACAACATATCGTAACTATTACTAGCTAATTCCGCTTCACTCTCGGCTTATTTAACAGCAGCAAAACTGGACATGATAGTCACAAATTTTGTCATGCTTATTTGAGTTAAGAGAACTGATGGGGATGTTCTTTTAATTATTTTTCAAGCAATGTATGTCTCGTGACGTGACCAACTCAACGAGTGTTGCCAACAGGAACGGTGTAGAGTGCCCTCTGCTGGACAAACTATACAACTCCAACACTCATGACATGGTTCAAGCGTGTTTCCTCCTTTTTTTATTTTATTTTTGAAATATTTATTTATCGGCCTTTATAATACCGATAGTTTGAAAAATGCCTAATATCGGCCGATAATATCGGCCTGCCGATATATCGGCCTGGCTCTAATATATATATATATATTACTCCAGGTATTACACCTGGTATTAAGTCTAAAAGTGAATGGGAATGATGGCTTTGTGTGACAGACTGAAATTGTGGATGAACCATTGTTTTAAATGTGTGTATGCACATAAAGCCATGTCTTCTCCATCTGTCAGTGATCGCTCTGAGATCTGAAGGCTGGCAGGTGGACGTGTCGGAGCAGGGAAGAGTTCGTCTGTGGCTCCAGACTGAAGATCTCAGCAGCGCTGCGGTGCTTCGGCTCATCCTCAACGACTCCGAGATCTCCAGCACACCAGTAAACGCTACCGTCTCCTCAGGCGTCATCATGTCATTCGTCTTACATCGGTGACTTGCTCAATGACTTCTAAAGAGCTGTGTGTGTGTGTGTGTGTCCTGCAGGCCCGTAAGATTAACTTTGACAAGGCACAAGGTCTGCTGGAGATCTGGTTTGATCAAATCTCGAAAGAAGACGAGGGCTCGTACACCGCGCAGCTCAAAGACGGACGGGCCAAGAACCAGTTCACACTGGTGTTAGTGGATAAGAGTATGTTTGCAATGTTACTTTATAACTTTAATTAAATCCCTTTTCCCCTGCGGAACAGCTTTCTAGTTTAAACAAATATATTGTAAAATATAAAGAACACAGTTTTCAACACTGAGCGGCAAATCATCATATCAGAATGATTTCTGAAGGATCATGTGACACTGAAGACTGAACATTCACAAAAAATGAACAATAAAACAGTTATTTTCAATTGGCTTTATGCACAGCTGCACTACTTCCTGAACTTCAGCCTGCTTCTTGTTTCCTGTCTGCCTTATTGGACAAACTGATTAATCCAGGTGTGCCTGATTATTGTTGTTGTGACTACTGAGGTCAGACACTCCTGGATTAATCGGTTTGTCCAATAATGGCAGACAGGAAACAAGGAACTGGCTGAAGTTCAGGAAGTAGTGCAGCTGGGCATAAAGGCTATTGTAGTAATATTTAACAGTATTACTGTTTCTACTGTATTTTTGAAAATTTTGAATGGCCTTTGTATATTTATATATTCATTTTTTATACACTTATATTTTCAAAAGTCTCTTCTGCTCACCAAATCTGCATTTATTTGATCAAAAATAAAGTTAAAACAGTAATACTGTGAAATTTTACATTTCAAAATTCATATTGTAATATATTATGCAAAGCTAAATTTTCAGCATCATCACTCCAGTCTTCAGAGTCACATGATACTTCAGAAATCATTCTGATATGATGATTTGCTGCTCAAGAAACATTTCTGATTATTACCAATGTTGAAAACAGTTTCATATTGTTTTTTTCTTTCCAGAATTATTTAATGAATATAGAAACCTTTTCACTTTTTATCAGTTTTAAGCATTAAAAATGTCCAGAATGTATTTATTTGGGACTTTTCCACCTCACAGATTTCTCTTTATAATAAATGTATAAAAAGCATTATCAATCAATATCTAGTTAGCACTTGTCATTACAATTTGTCATTTTATTTAGAACAAACAATTGTTGTTCCCGACACGAAACATTTTTTCATAATTTTCATTCAAAGAAAGATACATTTCCTTTTTTTAATGAAGTGCATTTTCATTTTTCAGTCACCACTAAATTATGCAACAAAACTCAAATTCAGAGTACATTTTTTTCTGATCTGTCTGGTGCCAGGTCAAAGGTCATGGTGAATATTTCTCCAGATGAAACATTAATTCTTCTGTTTTATTGTTTGTTTGTCAGAGTTTCAGGACACACTGGCTAAATCTGAGGCCAACAGACGAAACTGGAAGAGAAAGTCGGGTGAGTCGACAGAACAGATCTAGAGATCATGTCAAATGATATACAAATGTATGAACAAAGACATACCAGGGACTTATACAGCAAGGTCTCCTTTGTTAACAATGCATTAGCCAACTTAAAATAACAATAAACTATATTTATAAGCATTTATTAAAGTTAGTTAGTAAAAATATAACTGGTCATTGTTTGATCATGTTAGTTCACAGTGCATTAACTAATGTTAACAGTCAACATGTTTTAGTAAATGTTAGTTTAACATAAATCAAGCTTCAAATATTTTTCATCGTTAGTTCAAGTTGGAAACGTGTTGTGTGTTCCCATGTTAAACTATGACAATCAAATGTTTCTGTTTTGTTTCCAAGGTCCCCATTTCAAGGAGTTTTTGTCATGGACAGTAACCTCTGATTGTGAATTGATTATAAAGTGCAAGGTAATGATATCTATTCACTTATGATGACAATACATCACCATTTAAACCATATGCCAAGCCCTTGTGTGTGTATCCGGCTGCAGGTCACTAACATGAACAAAGACACGTGTCTGAAGTGGTTTAAGGATGGAGTGGAGCTTTCTCAGGCCGTGTACGAGCCCTCGGGCGTCAGCACCTTCACTGTCGCGCAGGTACCGTCAAATCCATAACAGCAGAAGTTCAACAGAATTTGAGGCATATAAATGCTGGGTTGTTTCACCCCAACTTTGGGTCAAATATGGACAAACCCAGCCATTGGGTTGGGTTTTAATTAAATTTTTAACCCAATGTTTGTGTTTGTCCATATTTGACCAAATTTGGGTTAAAGGGATTCTTCAGGATTTAGTATTAAGCTTTGTATTAATAGAAAGCCTGTAGTATTTTCAAATTACCGTGCTTTCCACCCTCATACCCCCTGAGATGAGAGATTTATGTATTTTTTGTCTGGAATTGTCATTTTGGTCAGATGAGGATTATTTGTCCAGAGGCTAAAGACTACAGTCAGTAGTCGGGTCTGTCCCGCATGTCCTCAACCCGCCCATAGAGGGCGATCTCACTCACAGAATGAACACACAGTGTCGGCCATCTTCTTTTGGAAGCTAAGCTAGCAGGCTCTTGTTCTGAGTAGTAGGGGTTACCATCCTCTTTTTCCCGGACATGTCCGGCCGTCGATGTCCGGGATTCAGTTTTTTCTTTCTCCAGTCGCCATTCATTGTTTACAAGCACAGCTTTTGTTTCAATCTAACTGAATTCATTCCGATTGGTGAATCTGAATGTAGTGTTTTCATGAACGCTAAACAAGTGATCGGTTGATGTGCGTTTTAACATTGCTAAGAAAATTGGACTCGTCCCGCTCGCCACAGTAAACATAATGAATGGCGACTGTAGAACGCAAAAGCCGAATCCCGGACATTTTGGGCGATCTCGAAACACATTTTCGGGCAGACTCATCACGGAGACTCACTAGTAGCCTAGACTTGATGTTTAACTACTGCGCTCTGTTACCGGTAGGCGTGGCCTCCTAGGCAAGTGCATTCTGGGAGTTGTTGTCTTTCATCCACATAAGCCAAAAATACATTTTCTGGCTTTTCTCATTCTAGAAAGCTCCAAATTAAAAAATAATTTCACATTTCTTCTACATAAATTCACATTCATCTTTCCAGAGGCGAAGTATCCCTTTAAAACAACCCTGCATGTTTTAGAGTGTAATGTCAGAATTATAAGGGTGGTTTAGGATTATATCTGCAAAAGAAATTGATTTTTACTGAAAACTTAATGAGTTGCTTTGGCTTTTACACAAATAATACATTTAAAAAAAAAGTTGAAATAATTTTCTGTGGAAATCAATGTTCTGCCACAAATTTTGTCAATAGATCTTAACCTGTACTGAACCCGGAACATTCTTTAATCGCCCGATAGAGGAGCGCTCCTTCCACCAATCTTCCTGGCACTTGCCGATTAAAGGGCTATTAGTGCGTAATTGAGCCTGGAATAAGACTGACCCGTGTGATTTGTCATAATGGCTCAGGTGACGAGGAAAGAGTTGGGTGTGTACAGGGCTGTAGTGAGCGACAGCAGAGGAGAAGATGACAGTGTCCTGGAGCTGATCGATGATGGTGAGAAGAACATGATTTACTATCAGTCATCTCATTCTCACGCCATTGTGTGTAAGACAGTACCATATACATTCCAAGATTTCAAAGTAGGATTAAAGATATATTCATTAAAAATGTTTTTTTTATGTTAAAATAAAAAAAGAGTGCTTAAAATATCTGTAATATATATTTAACGTGTGTGTGTATACTTACTGAAAGAATTTTTAATTATTATAATTTTAATATATATACAGTTTATATATACACACATTTTACATATATATTATATATTTTAAGCACTCTAGAAAATAAAAATTAAAAATTATAAATATATGTAGGCTTACATACTGTATATAGTGGTTTTAATTATTATAATTTTAATATATATACAGTTTATATATATATATATACACATTTTAAATATATATTATATATTTTCAGCACTCTAGAAAATAAAATTTAAAAATTATAAATAAATGTAGGCTTATATATAGTGGTTTATTTTTATCAACGTGTGTGTGTATACTTACTGAAAGAATTTTTAATCATTATAATTTTAATATATATATACAGTTTATATATATACACACATTTTAAATATATATTATATATTTTAAACACTCTAGAAAATAAAAATTAAAAATTATAAATATATGTAGGCTTACATATATAGTGGTTTATTTTTATTTAAGTGATTTAAGGGGTTTTAGGTTTACTCCATAACTGTAGTAAAATCACTAATGAATTAAGTATTCTAATGTAGAATTAATAGGCTACTTCTATGTGAAGGTGATTTATTTTCAAAATGTTTTGTAAATGAAATTTCAGAAACACTTTACATTAAGCTTCCATTTGCTAACATTAATTACCAATGAAAAATACTTCTAAGTAATTTATTCATCTTATTTAATATTAATTTCAACATTTACTAATACATTATTAAAATAATCTGATTTATCTTAGTTAATATTCATTCCAACATTTACTGATACATTATTAAATTCAAAAGTTGTATATTTTATCTGCAATCCTTAGTTGGATAAGCACTTTAATGGGCAATCGTTCTTGTGAAGATCTGGACTCAAGGGAACGAACTGGGAGGGTTGGTTGGGTAGGCTGGGGTGTATCTTTCATTTTGATGAACATCTGTATAATACAGCCGTAATATGTTTGTATAGATTTGTCCCAACATGTGCTGTTGTAGAAAATGTTACATGGTTTAATAGAAATTCAATAAAAAAAACTGTTAAAAATAAAGGTTGTTTATGGACCTGCTGACATGAACAATGAACAGATGTATTTTTTATCAACTAAGATGAATAAATCATGTAACAAATGTATTGCTCATCATTGCATTGAATAATAGGGCCTTGTTTTAAAGTGATACCCGGCCAAAATGATACTAATAAGATCTTTTGTTTTTGTTTTCCTTAGAATTTGAGCGTATGGTGCAGCAGCTCAACAAACAGTGCGGTAGGTGGATCACGTGATGATGTTTCAGACGCTCATGCTCATGTAAAATCGTAGCTAGTGATGTAATCTCGGCCATGTGTGTGTGTGTGTGTGTGTGTGTGTGTGTGTCACAGCGCTCTCTGCAGGTCCAGTGCGGATCCAGTGCACTGCTCAGGGCTTCAAGCTCTACTGCTCCCTCAAATACTACATGAGCTGCATGCAGACCAGCTGGCACTTCAAGTGAGTTTTTATATGGCCAAGGATGTATATGGAAGAGTTCTGCTTCAGATTTCACATTACCTAATATTTTAGTTCTTGAAATGAATCCAAATATGTGTATGAATGTGTATGATGAGTGAATGGGTGTATGTGAGGCTAAATGTAAAGGGCTTTGGTGGCCATTGGGTCTGTGAAAGCGCAATATAAATGCAGTCCATTTACCAAATAACTGATCCATTTAATTCAAGAGATTTGTTCAAAAAATGCTGATTCATCCAGTAAACAAGTGAAGTCTTTATGAGTTAGTCATTGAATAATAAAAAATAATTTTAAGTTAAATGTTCTTTCAAATAGACTATAGCCAATTAACATTTTGTCCGTACCTAGTCAATTACAAGTTATTTTGTTTAGTTGTCTGTCCAGAATCGTGATCTCTATTTGAAACAAACTATTTAAAAAAATAAAATAAAAGATTGATTATCAATTTGGCCGGAATCATGCTCTGCTGCATGATAAAAAATACTAAACAAAATGACGACTGATCAATCTGAGCAATGCACGGTCATTTTATGGCTTTATATTTTTTTAGTCCTCTACCAAAATTGTAGGAAAAAATATTAAAAGTTGTCAGTTCACTCAGTTCAAGGTTATTATAGTTACCTAGTACTAAAACCATAAAAAAATATTTTTTTTATTTCTTGAAATAAAATAAATGATAAAAAAATAAGTTTTTTAGTTAGTTAAACTTACTAAATATACTAAAATAACTAATACTGAAATAAAAATTATACAAGCACAAAAAATTACAAAAACACTATTACAATTTCGAGTGCTTGGAGCCAGAGGGGCGTAAGTGGCATTTTGGGCGAAAATTAGTTCTTTATATCAAAATAAAGGTCTCGATGAGCTCTATCCAATGGTGCTAAAAATACATATCTGAGCTCAAACTGTATTGAATAAAGCAACAAAAAGGCGTATTTGACTTATTTGACTTTTTGTTTTGTTTTTTGAAAATGTTATAGAACATGTTTATTGTGTTAATATGCCATACATTTTTTACTTAAATTCTCATTTCATGTAAGTATGCCTGTGGTTGCAATGTTTGTGGTTTAAGGTTAATAATACAGGTGATTGTAGCATGGTCAAAATTTTGTTTTGTCTCTCCTGTAAAGCCACTTACGCCCTTCTGTCTCCAAGCCCTCGATTTTAAGTAAAATTAAAATAAAAAATATGAAGATAAAAACTATTTAAAAATAGCAAATAACAGTATCTCACTGATACTAAATTAACATATAAAGTCTTTTGTTCCTTCGATGGTTGGACTTTCTCTGCATGACAGGGACAAGAGAGTCGCTGAGGAGCGGAGCCGGCCGGGCAGCAGCATGCAGAAGCTTTGGATTGAGATATTTGACCCCAGTGAAAGTGATAAAGGGAAGTACACCCTGGAGATGTTCGACGGCCAGGAAACACACCAGCGCTCTCTGGATCTGTCTGGACAAGGTACAGCCACAGAACATGCGTGTCAAGCAGGACGATGATGAAGCCTTAAGCCTAAACCTCTCTCTCTACTCTGTAGCTTTTGCAGATGCTTTGCTGGAATACCAGAGGCTAAAGTAAGTCAAGATGCTTTTGAATATTCATCGGCTGAATTTGAAGCTCCGCCCTCTTTGGTTAGCTCAGATGAACTAGTCCATTAGAGTGAATGGCTATTTCTGTGAACAGTGTGATCTTTCAGTAAAATGTGCTCATACAGTGGTAAGAACTGATTAGATCTTATTCCTAATAGTGTGTATATGTATGTGTATTAGTAATACGATCCAATCAGCTTTTACCAGCTATGCACATTCATTTTATGGCTTTATATTTTTTTTATTTTTCTACCAAAATTTTAGGAAAAATTATAAAGAGTTGTCAGTTAGCTCAGTTCAGTGTTACTATACAGTGCTTAGCATAAGTTAACACACCCATGCTACAGTTGAATAAAAGAGGAATAAAAAAAATCATCTTTTGGAAATTGATTAATTTAAATTTTTTTTTAAATTAGGAAAAATCTAAACTTTAAGGAGACCAATTTTCTATATGAAATAATAAAATAATATAATATATTTAAATATTATATTTATTTATAATTTATATATATTTTTTTTATAAATATTATATAATATATTTATATTCAAAATAATATATTTATATTTTATTTAGGCCTATATTATATTTTATATATAAAATGTATATCATTTACCACTTATTTACAAAAAAATTGGATTGAAAATGAATTGAATATTACAAAACACTATCTACTTTTTTATTAGTAATGTAAGTATATAGTTTAAAATGAAGGTGGCTTCAATTTTTCTTTATATTTATTGTAAGGTTATAATATTACTTTACATCTCATTAAAAAACCTTCAGTGGTATTCAGGTGAATATAATATTGAATATGAATATTAGTCTAATATAATAGTCATTTACAAAAAAAATGAATTAAAAAGGAATTGTGACTGCAAAACTTAATCTAATTTTTTTGTCTGTTAAGAAATTTGTAATGTAAGTAACAATATTATATACACTTAATAGCAATTATGTACATATATATACATAAATGCATACAATTAAATATCATTTTACCAGTTATTTACAAAAAAAACTCAAAAATATCAAAAATACAAAATCTTTTTCATTATATTTATTAAAAGGTTGGAAGTTGAACACTAGTTGAAATCTTGCGCAGATAAACGTTCGGTGGTGTTTGCAAACTCATTCTCTATATAACTGTATTGTTTCGTCTTCATTCACAGGCAAGTGGAGTTTGCTGAGAAAAGTAAGTATTGGTTTGTCTTGTGTTTTAGTAAAGCATTCACACACTTCATCATAACTGTCCATCTCTGACAGATCGAGCCAAAGTCACGAAGGGTCTTCCTGATGTGGTGGCCATCATGGAAGAGAAGGTACGTCTCCATCACTTCTTTGTTTCATTGACTCTTACTTCAGCTCACACGATCGTCCCGTCTGTCTCTCCAGTCTCTCTGTCTGACGTGTTTTGCCGATGGCGACCCGGTGCCGGAAATGTTCTGGCTAAAGAACGACAGAGAGCTCGTCTCCAGCGGCCAGTATAACATCACACACGAGAACAAATCCTCCACGCTCACTGTCAACCACGTGACCATGGAGGACTCGGGCAACTATAGCATCTTCGTACGCAATAAACACGGATCGCAGACGGTTCCCGTGACCGTCAGTGTGTATAAACAAGGAGAAAAGCCTCGAGCAGATGCAGTGCAACTGTAAATCAGTAACATCAGGACAAACTCATCATTTGAGTTCAAGTCAACAGTGATTTCTAGGCTGGAAGCGTGTTTCTAAAACTTTTTATCTCACAATTCAGACTTTTTTTCTCCAATGAGATAACTCACAATTGCAAGAAAAAAGTCAGAATTGTGAGCGAAAAAGTCGTAATTACCTTTTTTTTTTATTGTGTGGCAAAAACAAGCTTGCTTATTTACATGGCATGTGTTTGTTCATTTTTGGTGCGTGGGTGACTGTTAAAGGGGTGATGAACTGAGAAATCAAATTTTCCTTGAGCTTTTGACATCTAAGAGGTCATCATATTATAAGAATATCCTGTAAGTTTCAGAGCTGAAAATGTCCTAGTTAGTCCAATAAAAGCTTTTATTGACACCAGCCTCTGAAAACGACTCGTTTTACAAAGTGGGGAACTATGACGACAAAGAGGATAAAACACCACCCCCGGAGAAGAAGATCGACGCCTACTTCAACACGGCCGGTTTAGCCCCGCCCACCGATTCGCGCATTACACGTATAGCTAATGTGCTAACATAGATGCCTACCTCGTGATGACAAACCGGATCGAGCTACAGAGCAATACAGAATATTGTGGAAGAAGACAGTCGCTGCATAAGCTTCCTCATGTTTCCAATAGGACTGCATGGATAAACTTTATTTTTAATGGCGTTCCAACTGATTAGGTAAAATATTGTCTGTCTGTTCGCTTCATTTTACTGAGGATTGTTTTATAAACAAGACTGGCTTTGCAGACCGATTAATGCTACGTTCACACCGGACGCGAATAGGGCGTCAGGCGCGAATGATTTCAATGTTAAGTCAATGCAAAGACGCTTTACGCGCGTGAAAAATTCCTGCGGCGCGAATGAGGCGTGGAGCGCGGAGCGGAAGACGCCAATACGCCTCATTCGCGCGTCAAGTTGGCGCGAATTGAGCGTTGTGCATTCACGCGTTTGACGCGAATTCGCGTCTGCCGCCCGAGTTGAAAAATCTGAACTTTGGCGTGAATTCGCGCCGCGTTAACCAATCAGGAGCCTAGCTGCTTGCTCACGTGTCTGGATGCTTCAATAAATTATTTTGTTAATATGACTAAATGCATGGTGGGATTATGCACAACAAAGCAAATGTTTCATCACTTAAAACATTATTTCTATATACAAGACATGTTCATTTTGTATTGAATGTTATTCATTCCATATCTAGAAATAGTATTATGTTGTAAAGACAATCAACATATGTGCATAAATTCGTGTCTGGACGTGAGAGAGAGAAAAAAATCACAGGACAGGTTAATAACTTTTGAAGGCTGGCTCTATGTATCATCAAAACAAAAATAAAAGACAGCTAGATTAGATGGATGAGGGCGAGGGTGATCCTCGCTCAGATGCGGGACAACAGGTCATCAAACTGGGCACGTGACAGGCGGAAGTACCGCTGACAGCGGCCGTCATCCAGCGCAGCTCCTGGAGCGAGCAAATGGTGAAACTCGCCAAACGGTTCGGCTCTAAAGGGTCCGGTGGACACAAATATACGGCGACGATGATCCCCACGCCACTGTACTACTCTCCAGAGTAAATACAGAGCGGTAACTCTCTTGATGAATGCTCGGTCGACATAAAAACAATGGCCGCCAACGGATTTTGATTCTGACGCGCGTAAATTTCGCTTCAAACTTTACGCGCGGCAGTTTCGCTCTTGACACGCAAATTAACACTAGTGGTCAAACTAGACGCGTCAGGCGCGAATTTGACGCGCGATTCGCGTCCGGTGTGAACGTAGCATAAGAGTAAAGAACGGTGCTGTGCCGTCTCCGACAGGAATGGTGCAACACACGGACTCTGGGTCGAACATGTATGGGCGAATCATTCCGGTCGCCATCGTACAACATTGGACGTTTCAAAACAATTTCCCCCAAATGCACCGACGGGTGAGTCGAAACTCATTATAATACGCAAAACTGTTATCCAATCACAGCAGTGGGCGTTAACTTCCAAGTCTTCAGTGCGAAACGCCCATAAAAACCGAGCGTTTTTCAGCTGGGCTCAAAACTAGGGTACACAATAGCCTATTACTTATTCATTTTGATGTGTTAGAATGCAAAAACCAATCGAACGTCATAAGTTGACCTCAGACAACAATATAATAAAATTTAAAAAGCCAGTTCATGACCCCTTTAATGTGAGTGTCCTAAAAGGCATTGAAGACTGAACTGATTTTATTTGTGGTTTGTTTCCTCTGATTTATTCCTTATACAGAATAAAGTGCAAATTAAACCTGTTTCTCTCTCTTTCATTCATTAACTAAATAAATCATCAGGGAATAAAAGTGGACTGCGAACTTTGATCAGATTGACTGTGAACACACTTTCCAGCCCCATTACAATAGTGTCACCATCGATTTTTATTTTTTGCCTGTACATGGATGGATGGATATTTCATAATAGAGAGATCGAGGCCTGTTGCATTTATCATTATGCAATCCTGGGGTGAATCTTTTGAACAGATAGAAAGCAAACTCCACTGTCCACAAAGTCATTCACCCCTCGTGTTTAAACACTAGTATCTCAACCGGTTCCTTTAGTAAAACTGAGAGGAGATTCTAGACTTGTTAGATTGGTTTGCTTTTATTTACTTGTATATGAAATGCTGGACTGTGCATTTATACATGCACAGCATCGTGTCTCGTGCATTATATTATTTGCACCGGTGTTTTGCTGTTTGCCATGTGATGATAACAGTGTCTTCTATACTGAGTGCATGGAGGGACCGTGTTTGAATGTGTTTTAATGTTGTAAGTCATCTCATTCTGCTCATTTAGAGATGCTCATTTTAAAATTGTTCGTGGTGATTTCTCATTTGCTTAAGTGCAGTTCATCCATTTGGCTTCTCAGCTCATTTTCAAGTGAATTGTGCTCATTTATTAACTATTTTGGTTAATCTTATATGCATGTAGCTACAGTATTAGAACAAGTTGTGCTTTCGTTGAACCTGTTTAAATCCATCAACTAAAGAGAAAGTTAAATTAAAACAAGCTTGCATGACTGTGAGAAAGGATTATTACAAAAGATACTCTTAAGTTGGAAAAAGGTATGCTCACCAAGACTGCATTAATTTGATCAAAATACAGTCAAACAGGAATATTGTGAAATATAACATTGTGAAATATCTGATTTCTATGTGAATATATTTTAAAAATGTAATTTATTCCTGTGATCAAAGCTGAATGTTCAGCATCTTTACTACAGTTTACGGTGTCACATGATCCTTCAGAAATCACTCTAATATGATTATTTGCTGCTCAAGAAACATTTATTCTCAGGGCTGAAAACAGTTTATATTTTTTTTGCAAACTAGAACTACTTTTTTCAGGATTCTTTTATGAATAGAAACGCTTTGCATAACCAGGCCCACGTGGATCCCCACAGAAAGCATGTCTAAGTCCATTAAGTGGATGAATTGATGTCAAGGCTCTGTAATATTCCATCAAACTAAATTGTGTGTTTTTTTTGTTTTTTTTTTTTAAAAGACTGGGTCAGTTGCACCCATATTCAGGGGGCATTACCCCACAAATGGTGTTAGTGAACTCTGGGCTGTTCAAACAGAAGGGAAAAATTACAAAATGTCAATGATTAAACTCACATGTGAATTATAAATAGGCTTCTGGACTCAAATGATCCTCTTCACATTGTCCTGAGCTTCTCAAAGCGGTCTAAGGCTCTTGTCCGATCAGATCCGATCAGCAGACATGGCTTTCCAGGGAACATGGCAGGTGTATCTTCAGGAGAACTACGAGGAGTTTCTTCGAGCTATTCGTGAGTTTTTACGTCCTATTTATCCTTTATATGCTCAGGGTTGCATTTCCCCAAAGCACCACACGGCGGCAGCAAATGGAATGGCAAAAATGCCAAATTTAGAATAATTTGGAATTGATGTTAAAATAGGCTATACTTGGAAATAATGTCCAAAAAGTAAAAAAAAGAAATTAACACTACATCTGTTTAATAGCATAGTAGGTTCGTTTTTTTTCCCCCGGTGAAATGCCTTAATTTTTTCTTTTCTTTTCTCTCTATTTTTTCTATCTCTTTTCTCAAGTATTTATCCTTGACAAGATAGCTACCATATGTTTTGTACGAACTACGAACTTTTATTCGTATTAAAATTCTGTGGCAATAAAAAAGATGGGAAATAGTGGCTTGGGAAACTTTTGGGAAATATTAAGTTTTTTTCCGCCACAAATAAAAAAATAAAACGGGTAACTGCTACTTTTTGTCTTATTCTGAAATTCTGACTTTATTCCTCACAATTGTGAGAAATAAAGTCTGAAAACTCAGGATTGCGAGAAATAAAATCAGAATTGTGAGAAATAAAGTCGGCAGTATTTCCGGTGAAGGTGTAAGGATGCTCGATAACTTCCGCCGATCGTAGAGTCCAATGCAATACCGAGAATTTATATTGAATTTTATACTCCATGGTTATACTAAAGGAACGTTAGTCACAAAAACAGATAAAACAGACACCCCTCGTTGTGTTTATGCTTCTTTTTAAAATGATATTAAATAAACATAACTATAGGCCTATATAAAATTACATCTAAACGTATGTACGTTTCGTTTCAATGACGGGAGGACAGTAAATTTTGAAGACTCTGCCATAATCCCGTTTTCCTCGGTTTTCCTCCGCTTTAATCTCCACAACCGGAAATGGACGAGCATCGTTGCGTCAAATGCGGAACTTATGCGTGCATATAGCCCATAAAATCAGAATTGCGAGATATAAACTTGGAATTGTAATAGCCTAATTAAGTCTGTGAGATATAAACTCGGATTTGCGAGTTATAAAGTCAAAATTGCAGAGTATAAACTTGGAATTGCGAGAAATAGGATAAACAGACTTTTTTCCTCAAAGTTGCGAGTTATGAAGTATAAATTGTAAGATATAAACTCACAATTGCGAGAGAAAAAGTCACTTTTTTGTTTGGTGTCAAAAACAAGCTTCCATATAAACCTATGGGATGGTAATTTGTAATAGCCTATCATTTATCTTTGTCGTGATTATAGGTCTCTCAGCATCTGTGTGTTTCTGTTCCTTCAGCTCTGCCAGAAGATATTATTAAACTGGCCAAGGATGTTAAACCAGTGACAGAAATCCAACAAAAGGGCAACGACTTCACGATCACATCCAAGACCCCCGGGAAAACCGTCACCAACTCCTTCACCATCGGCAAGGAAGCAGAAATCACCACCATGGACGGCAAGAAGCTCAAGGTGGAATATAATTCACGCCTTT